CAATGTCACTTTTGTCATAAATCAGACATCCACATGAATGAATATTTCTGGACTCTGTTCCTTTGGTCTGTTTTTCTCTTCTTTTGCCAATACCACATGGTCTTAATTAACTGTAGCTTTGTATTAATAAGACTTACTGATAGTGTAAATCTTCCACCTTTTTTTTTTTCTTTATGAATGCCTTGTTTATTCTTGGCTCTTTACGTTTTCCTGTAGATTTTAGAGTCATCTAGTATATATCCACTTTTTAAAATCCTATTAAGGCTATATTAAATCTGTAGATCAATTTGGGAGGAATTGACATCTTTACAAAATTGAGCTTTCCAGCCCATGAATGTGGTATGTCTCTCCATTCCTTAGTGTTCTTTGGTTTCTCTCAGTGATTTACAGTTTTCTATATAGAGATCTGGCATGTCTTTCATTGCATTTATTCCTTGGTATACGATAGTTTTTGATGCTACTCTAAGGAGTATCCTTTCAAAATACCATTTTCTGATTGTTTCTTATTAGTATAGTGTTCATTTTTGTATATTGGCCATGTATCCAGAGACTTTGTTATTCATTCCACTTATTATAGTGGTATTTCTGTGTACAGTCACGTATACAAATATAACTTTGTCCTGTTACCTTCCAGTATTTTTATCATTTTTTGTTTTTTAAGTAGGCTCCACACCCAGCACAGGGCTTGAACTCAAGACCCCAAGATCAAGAGCTGAGCTGAGATCAAGAGTCAGACACTTAACCGACTGAGACACCCAGGGGCCCCTGTTGTTTTATCTTTTGATAATCCATCTGGAATTGATGTTTAGGTGTGGTATAAGGCATGAATCAAGGCTCATTTTCTTCCCATAGAGATGCCCACTTGGCGCAGCGGTGTTTATTGGAAGACCATTCTTCCCACCGCGTTGCAGTAGCACCTTTGTTTTTATATGGATGACCAAATGTATGTGGATCTGTTTCTGAGCCCTCTGTTCTGTTTCTCTGTCTTTGCATCAATATACAGTCTTACCATCTGCAAATAATGCCAGTTTAATTTCTTCAGCTTGATATTTTATTTCTCTTTATTGCCCCACTCTACTTGATACAACCTCCAGTACAGTGTAGACAAGAAATGGTGAAAACTCTCCATTTCAGGGAGGAAGCTTTTCATTGTTTCACTGTTAGATGTGAGGTTTGCTGTAGTATTTTTGAAATGTCTTTAACTTGATGAAGGAAGTCTTTTCTAATACCTAATAGGCTGAGAGATTCTAATCATGAATAGGTGTTAAATTTTAATGCTTTTTTTGTCCCCCAGTCTACTGCAATGATCATATAGTTTTTTCTTTATTCCAGTTATGTAACTTACTTTGCTTTGGTTATGATTTTTGCCTCTGTGTTCATGATAGATATTGGTCTTTCTTGTGCTGTTCTTAGGAGCTTTTAGTATCAAAATTATACAGGCCTCATAAAATGATTCAGAATAATGTTTGTTCTTTTGCTTTTCTTAGTTTTTGTAATATTAGTTACATTTCTTCCTCAGATACTTAGAAGACTTTACTGGGAAAGGTTTCAGAGCTTTTACAGTATTCTTTGTGGGAAGGTTATTAATTACTGATTCGGTTTCCTTATTTGGTACAGCTCTGTTGAGATTTAAAATTTTCTTTGTTCAGGGGTGCCTGGCTGGCTCAGTCCACAAAGCATGTGACTCTTGATCTCAGGGGGGTGAGTTTGATCTCGGGGGGGTGAGTTTGAGCCCCACAGTGGGTGTAGAGATTACTTAAGTAAATAATTTATAAATAAATAAATGAATGAATAAATATTCTTTGTTCAGCTGTGGTAAGTGGTATCAAGGAGTTTGCCCATTCACAATTTCATATTAATTGGTATAAAATTATTATACTGTTCTTTTTATATTGTAGAATCTGTAGTGGTATCTTCTTTTACATTCCTGATAATGGTTATTTGTGTTTTCTCCTATTTTTCCTTGATGAATTATGATAGAGATTTATCAGTCTTCTTAATCTTTTTAGAGAACTTTTTGTTTGGACTTTTCTCTATATGTTTGTATCTGTTTTGTTAATTTCTGCTGTTATGATTGCCTTCTATTTTTCTGGTTTGATTTACTGTGCTTTTTCTAGCTTCTTGAGATCGAGGCTTTGATCATTGATTTCTTGGTCCTTTTTCTTCTCTAAAATAGCATTTGGATGTATAAATTGCCCTCTAAACACTGCCTTAACTCCAGCCTACGAATTTTGATGTCTTTTGTTTTCATTACCGTTTGGATCATCCAGTCAAAATACAGGAGTTTCTAATTTTCATTGTAATTTCTTCTTTAACCCATGAGTTGTTTAGTTTGCTTAATTTCCAATATTTAGAAATTTCCTAGTTATCTTTCTTTTACTGGCTGTTCTATATGATTTCAAGCCCATGAAATTTGTTGAGACTAACCTTGTGACTCAGGATATAACCCGTTTTATAAATAAATGTTCTCTATATACTTGAAAAGAATGTTCTGCAGTTGTTAGGTAGAGTGGTCTATAAATGTCAATGAGGTCAAGTAGTTTGATAGTGCTGTTCAAGTCGTCTGTCCAGCTATAAAAATATGTGTTACTTGGGTGCCTGGGTGGCTCAGTTGGTTGAGCGACTGCCTTCAGCTCAGGTCATGATCCTGGAGTCCCGGGATCGAGTCCCGCATCGGGCTCCCTGCTCAGCAGGGAGTCTACTTCTCCTTCTGACCCTCCCCCCTCTCATGCTCTCTCTCTATCTCATGCTCTCTCTCAAATAAATAAATAAAATCTTTAAAAAAAAAAATTAAAAAAAAAATTTGTGTTACTTCCTTAAGGTCTGTCAGTTTCAGGTATATGTGTTTTGAAGCTGTAGTATTAGATTCGTACACATTTAGTATTATATCTTCTGTGAGTTGACCCTCTTAACTGGATGAAATCTCCCTACTCGTCTCTAATACTACTTACGTCAATTTTGTCTGATCCTAGTCTATTCATAGAGTTTTTCATGGGTTTTGTTGTACCCCTTCTGCCCTCACCCAAAAAGGAAAAGATTAAATGGTTGAAAAGAGAGCTTCAACATAGAATTGGAGTTTATTTAAAAAATCAGATGGACGTTTTATGACTGAAAAATAAAGTATCTTATGAGTTATTGATGTTCAGTATATTGCTTTCCATCCTTTTACTTTAAAGCTTTCTTTTATACATAAAAGTGTTTATGTAATACAATTTCCAATATGATTATAAGTTGTATGGGATAATGACTTGATGTATGTAAATTGCAAACTGATTACCTCAGGAAGTTTAGTTTAGTTAACATCCATCATCTCATATGGATAACCCCCCAGAAAAAGAGAAAAACTTTTTTTTTTTTCCTTGCAATGAGATCTTTCAGGATTTACTCTCTTAGCAACTTCCAAATACACCTTACAGCAGTGTTAACTACAGTCCTCATGTTGAACCTTATGGCCCCATTACTTAAATATTTTGTAACTGGAAGTTTGTACCTTTTGACCTCCTTTATCCAGTTCTCCTATCTTTGGTAACCACATGTGATTTCACTTTCTACGAGTTTGGGTCTTTGGGAGGTTTGGGGGGTTTTTTTGGATTCCACATGTGAGATCATATCATATTTGTCTTTCTGTCTCATTTCACTTAGTGTATAATGCTTTCAGAGTTCATCCATGTTGTTGCAAATGGCAGGATTTCCCTCTTTTTTTTTTTTTTTTTTTACAGATTAGTAGTATTCTGTTTTCTAGCATTTCTTTTTTTTTTTTTCTTTTTTTAATTTATTTATGAGAGAGAGCGGGGGGAGGAGCAGAGGGAGAGGGACAAGCAAATTCCATGCTCAGTGCAAAGCCCAATGCAGGGCTCAGTCTTAGGACCCTGAGATCATGACCTGAGCTTAAACCAAGAGTCAGACACTTAACTGACTGAACCACCCAGGTGCCCCTCTGTTTTCTTTACCCATTCACTGAATGAACACTTAGGCCGTGTCCACATCTTGGCTATTGTGAATAATGCTGCAGTGAATATGGGGGTGCAGATAGCTCTTTAACATTAGTGATTTCTTTTCCTTCAGATATATACCCAGAAATGGAATTGCTGGATCATATGGTAGTTTTATTTTGAATTTGTTTTGTTTGGTTTCTTTGTTTTTTGTTTTAATATTTTATTTCTTAGCGTGTGTGAGAGAGAGAGAGAGCACAAGTGGGGGAAGGGGTAGAGGCAGAGAGAGAAGCAGACTCCTCAGTGAGCAGGGATCCCGAATCAGGACTCAATCCCAGGACCCTGGGATCATGACCTGAGCCAAAGCAGATGCTTAACCAACTGAGCCACCCAGGTGCCCTATTTTTAATTTTTTGATGCACCCCCATACTAGTTTCGATAAAGGGAATTTACATTCCCTCCAGTAGTGTATGAGGGCTGCCTTTTCTCCATGTCCTTGCCCGCATTTGTTATCTCTCTGTCTTTTTGGTGATAGTCATTCTAACAAGTGGGAGGCCATAGCTCTTGGTTTTGATTTGCATTTCCCTGGTGATTAGTGATATTGAGCACCTTTTCATGTACCTGTAGTCCATATGAATATCTTATTGGAAAAATGTCTATCTAGATCCCTTGCCCATTTTAAAATTGGATCATTTGCTTTTTGGCTATTGAGTTGTAGGAGTTCTTTGTATATTTTGAATTTTAACCCCTTACCAGATATTATGAGTTGCAAGTATTTTCTCCCTTTCCATAGGTTGCTGTAATTGAGTTTTTAAGTGTGTCTTATTTTTATTTATATGTTCCATCTGTTCTTTGATCCTTTATTCCTCTTTTATATGTTCTTTTGCAATAATTGGTTATTTTTTTTTAATTATTCTTCTCCCCACCATCAGCTTTTTAGTTACGCATTCTTTTCTTTTTCCCTTCAGTGGTGTTTTTCACCATAAGCTCAGAATGCCACTTTCACCAAATATATGGGAAGAATTTTGACAATCCCTCATTTTTAATGTTCTTTTTTTTCTTTTTCAGACCCTTTTGAACAGTCACCATGTTTAGATATTAGCAAGCACGTATGTGTATGTGTGCATTTGAAAATGGCAGAGGGAAACAATAATGAAGAAGTCATTCACTTGAACAACTTTCACTGCCACAGGGGACAAGGTAAGTGCTTGTTCTCACTTTCTCCCTTTTATCATTGCTTTTTGTCTTTATGGTACAGTCATAGTTTCTTTGAAATTAACCTATTTTGCACCATGTGGAACCCAGAGACATTTCATTTTTAGACCTCAGAACATCTGGTGTAATGGACTCATCAGACTAGAATTTTGTGTCAAATGGTGACACATAATGGCATGAATGAAGTTGAAGAATCTTTCATCACAGGTGGATTATTAAGCTATTAATGAGCAAACCAAAGTAAGCTGTGAATGTGCAGTCATTGGATCTTAAGAGGTGGGAGTGTGGGAACTGTGGCAGTTCCGTTTTTGAAGGAATGGGGTCTTCAAAGGAGTGCTCCTCCAGGCCTATATGATCTGAAAGTGCTGCTCTCGCATTTTTGCCCCCTCATATTATGCTTAATTTATTTTTTGCCAAAAGATTCTGGTTGCCCTACAGGGAATTTTAGAGCATGTATTCTTTCATTGTACAGTGTTTAAAATTTGGGGAAGTTCATTGATTCAAAAAGGGAAGGGAGCCTGCATTTCTGTAACATTCCTAAATGCATATGAAATTTCCTGTCAAATCCTAATTCACATTTATTAGGCTGAAAGGAGAAAATTCATGCTGCTGAGTAGGAAAAGTATTTTTTGCAAGTATAAATTCCATGGAAGGGGGCACCTGGGTGGCTCAGTCGATTAAGTGTCTGCTCAGGTCATGATCTTAGGGTCCGGGGATCAGGCCCCAGGTCAGGCTCCCTGCTAGGTGAGGAGTCTGCTTCTTTCTCTCCCTCTGTCCCTCCCCCTCCCCACCGTGTGTGTGCATGTGTGTGTGTGTGCACGCGCACACACTCACTCTCAAATAATTTTTTTAAAGAAAATAAATTTCCATGGAAGAAATTGTACCATATTTTTTCCCCATTAATAATATTTTGTGCTTATGAAGATGATTTTTTTCCCAGCAGAGGGTAAATTATATACATTTGACTTTCAGAGAGCATTTAAAGTTGAGCAGATTTTATTAAGCAAATAAATTGAGAAAAATAAAATGTGCAAATTATGAGTGCAAAAGTACTAACTTTTAAAGGATTTTATTAATAGTTTAGTCTAACTTGGTAGTAAGAGAACCATAATTTATTATGATTCAGAAAGTTTTAAATCTTAGCTGTAATTTGTATATGGGATCATTCCAAATTTTTTGAACACGTATATCAAATTAATGTTGTTGTTTTGTAACTGGGTTTTAAATATACTTGAACAGAGTGTCAGAACAGCTAATTCCTTTGGGGAAATTATTCACTTTGGAGGTATATTTTTCTGTTAGAAAAGTTTTGTGTGTTTTGCACCCAGCATGAAGATTTTTTTCAGGCATGCAGAGTTTTGTCTTTATGAGCTATATTAATTTTATTGTGTCAACCCCTATAGGTTTATTTTTAAATTCATCTTTATTGAGGTATAATTTACTTAAATAAATGCACACATTTTAAGCATATAGTTTAGTAAGCTTTGAAAAATGAAAATACCCATATAACCACCCCCTTTACTCATGATGTGGAACATTTCTGTCATCCCAGAAAGGTTCCTTTATGCCCTCTCTGCGATCAGTCCTCACTCTACTCCTGGCCTAAGGAAACCACTGATCTGGTTTTTGTCACTATACAGTTTCATATAAATGGAAGCATACAGTGTATACTCTTTATGCCTGAATTTTTCTGCCCAACATAATGTTTTGAGATTCATCCATGGTTGCATGTATCAATTAAATCCTTTTTAATTGCTGAGTAATATTTAATTGCAAGAATTCCATGCCCAGTAAAAATAGGCTTAAAAATGAAGGTAGGGGCGCCTGGGTGGCTCAGTTGGTTAAGCAACTGCCTTCGGCTCAGGTCATAATCCCAGGGTCCTGGGATCGAGCCCCACATCGGGCTCCCTGCTCTGCGGGGAGCCTGCTTCTCCCTCTCGCACTACCCCTGCTTGTGTTCCCTCTCTCGCTGTGTCTCTCTCTGTCAAATAAATAAAATCTTAAAAAAAAAAAAAAAGGTAAAATAGGGGCGCCTGGGTGGCTCAGTCGTTAAGCGTCTGCCTTCAGCTCAGGTCATGATCCCAGAGTCCTGGGATCAAGCCCCGCATCCGGCTCCCTGCTCAGAGGGAAGCCTGCTTCTCCCTCTCCCACTACCCCTGCTTGTGTTCCCTCTCTCGCTGTGTCTCTGTCAAATAAATAAATAAAACCTTAAAAAAAAAAAAAAAAGGTAAAATAAAGAAAGGTTAAAAGTACAGGAATGAAAAAAGATAGGTTATGCAAATAGCACAAAAAGAGCTGGTATGTCTATGTATTATCAGATAAAATAGATACTTGAGCCAGAAGTATTAATAAATAAAGATAAAGAGTTTATAATGATAAAGGGTCAGTGCACTGGAAAGATAAAACAGTTCTAACCTCTGTACACTCAGTAACATGTTGTCAAAATACACAAAGCAAAAATTGACAGAACTAAAAGGAGAAATGGATAAATCCACAATTATAATGGGGATTTTAACATGTTTCTTTAACTGACAGAGAGCAAGCATTCACAAACATTTGTATGATATAAAACACGATCAACAAATTTGACATAATAGACATAAGTGGAATATTGCACCCAACGTATTTAACAAAATTGGCCATATTTTGAGCCACAAAACAAGTTCCAGGTTTCAGAGGATTGAAATCATATAGGTTATATTCTCTAATCATATTGGAATTAAGTTGTAAATCAATTACAGAAATAGAAAATCCTTATATGTGTGGAACATAGGAATACATTTCAGAATGACTTACGGTTCAAAAAAGAAATCACAGTGGAAATCAAAATATTTTGAATTGCATGATAATCAAAATACAGTCTATTGAAGCTTATGAGATGCATCTAATATGTTTGAAGAAAACTAAGTAATCTAAATGAGGACTTAGCAAATTTTTAAAAGTCAGATAGTCACTGTTTTTGCCTTGGAAGTCTTGTGCTCTCTGTTGGCAGTTACTCAGCTATACCATTATAATGTGAAGGCAGCTATAGTTGGCATATAAATGAGCATGGCTATGTTCCAGTAAGGACATGAAGTCGCAGGTACCATCCCACCCCACCCTGCTGGCGGGAGTGTGTATTAGCACAATTGGGAAAATTGTTTGGCGTTGTCCGCTAAAATTGAACATACGCTTTCCCTATGGTTTAGCACTTCCACTCCTAGAATGTACCCAACTGAAATGAGTATACCAATAGACATTTATAAGAATGTTCGAGACAGAATTAGGGGCACCTAGGTGGCTCAATCAGTTAAGTATGCAACTCTTGATTTTGGCTCAGGTCATGATCTCAAGGTTGTGGGATCAAGTCCGAGTGAGCCTGCTTAACATTCTTTCTCTCCCTCTCCCTCCCTCTCTCTCTCTTAAAAAAAAAGAGTGTTCAAGACAGTGTTATCCAAAATAGCCAAGACTGGAACCAACCCAAATGTCCACTGACAGAAAAATAAATAACTTGCAATATAGTCATATAGTGGATTACGTACAGCAGAGAGCTACAGCACATGCCACAGCATGAATACATGGACCTAGTATTGGCAAGAAAGCCAGAAACGAATGTATACTCAAAAAACAAGCAGAACTAGTCTGTGGAGTTAGGAGACTATTAATGTGCTGGAAATGTATTTACTGACCTTGGTGATGGTCACTCAGGTATGGGCCTTTTGATTAATTCATGGAGTTACACATTTGGTTCATAGACTTTGTTTTACTTTAATTTTTTAAAGGCTAATGTGTTTATACATGGCGTGTTAGGGAATATCTTGTCAACCATTGGGCTTCCGCTGTGAGGCGATAGGTTTCAAGCCAGCTTTTTCATTGGGTCTTCCAAGGTTGTCAGTAAGTGTTCTTTTCTTGGGCCAGTTCTTCCAGAGAGGAATGTACAGTTTCCTGCCTATGGAATCTGAGACTGTCTGCCAGCATTCTGGGAGCTAAGAAGTAGAAGGCAGCCAGAGTCTTGTTCATCATGCTCTTTCACTGGTACCCCTTTCCTCTCTTGACCCTGTGCCTGGTGTCTAGTGCCTCTGCCTCAGTGTCTCTTCATGATGGACCTCCACAGGGTGGGTTTTTTTGGAATGGCTGACTGAGCTTAGCACATTCTCTCCAAAACCTGTGGTAAAATTAGACAAAATTGTCCTGGAGCTCCACTCTGCTTGCTAGGTGGGGTGCTGCCCAAATCATGAATTGCTTAATAAAGCCAATTAGATCTTCCAAAAAGAATTAGAATGGTCAAAAACAACCATTTAACCTGGAAATGACCAAAGGAATATAATGATTGGGAACATTCAGGAAAATCTGGAATTCTGTCACATGAATTAGGCTACCTCTGGTTGGCTGTCCACCCCGCAGGCTGTGGGTTTGAGCCTTCTCCCCTCAAACCATCACTGTTAACCTTTTTTTAATGTTGAGGAAATGATGCTTGATGAAGTTAGGTAATAGCATCATGTGGCTGGCATATCGTGGAGTGGAGACTTGAACCCAGGCAGTCTGACCTTAGATTCAACAAACTGCTGTCACTGGCTCAACACAGCTCTGTTACAGGAATGAAGTGAGATAATTGACTTTAGATTGCTTTTCAAATTGTTGGATGCTGGGCCCCTGGGTGGCTCAGTCGTTAAGCATCTGCCTTCGGCTCAGGTCATGATCCCAGGGTCCTGGGATCGAGTCCCACATTGGGCTCCCTGCTCCGTGGGAAGCCTGCTTCTCCGTCTCCCACTTCCCCTGCTTGTGTTCCCTCTCTCGCTGTGTCTCTCTCTGTCAAATAAATAAATAAAATCTTTAAAAAAAAAAATTGTTGGATGCCATAAAAATAAATGAGGCATTAGTCTTGAAAAAGATACTAGAGCTTTAATGGAGATATTTCAACATTTGTGATTGATGATACCTCTTTTCTCATTGTGGGGTTTTTTCCCCCTAACCTTTTCTCTAGGACTCTTAATGCATTTTCTCTTCATTGCCTGTTTTAACCTTTAACATTCCCATGAGCCAGGCAGAAAAATTTAACAGTTTGTGTTATCCAGTAATTCATATTAGACATGCTCTATTTTCAAACAAATAGAAGGAGTTAGAACCTTTGAACATAATTTCTGTATCCAGATAGTTAGCTTAATTCTAGTTGTACTTAAAAGGATGGGGCACCTGGGTGGCTCAATCAGTTAAGCGTCTGACTCTTGATTTCAGCTCAGGTCATGATCTCAGGGTCCTGAGGTCAAGCCCTATGTTGGGCTCCACGCTCAGTGGGGAATCCGCTTCTCTCCTCCCTCTCCCTCTGCTCTTCCCACTGCTCTAGTGCTTGCTCATGCGTGCACTCTCTCTCTCTCAAATCTTTAAAAAATAAAATAAAATTTAAAAATAAAAGGAAATTAGGAAGGTTCTGTTGTTTACAGTCATAGATGCTAAATGGGTGTTTGAAACACTGAACTATGTGTAAATTATATTTAAAGTTTATAAGGTGAGCAAATTGGTATTTTAAATATTAAATGAAAATTATACTAGTTTTGAGTGAAAGTTTTTTCAGATTAATCAGGAGTAATAGAGATGAAGTGGGAGACCATGATTTCACTTTTTAAAAATTGGCAGTCAAGATTTCACCAACAGATTTCTCAGACCTAGTATAAGAAAAAGTTGATAATGTTGTCAGATTTTCTCTGTTGATTCCCAAAATGTATTATTGGCAAGGCTCACCACAGAAACCTGGCTCTTAATACTTGGGTGCAGGTGCTGCTTGAGATAAGCTAACACACCAGTAGCTTTTCATGCCAAAATTGAATTAAGAGACTGAATGTGAGCATGCTCATCTCCTGGTAACCATGTTCCCTGCCTCCTTTTAGACTGGATCAATCTCAGAGATGGACCCATCACCATATCTGACTCCTCTGATGAGGAAGGGGTTCCTATGCTGGTCACCCCGGCTCCTCAGGAACACGACGAAGAGGACCTGGATGATGATGTCATCCTGACAGAAGTGAGTTTCCTTAAACTTACCATGATGACACATTATTGCAAGTTATTGATCTGATTCTTTGGCCCTGCGGCAGTGGTGGCTGGGGCCTTGTAGGACAGCTGAGAGCGCCATTTCTGTTGCCCTGTAGCACTGTGTGTGTGCTGTGGTCCTGCATCTCAGAACAGCCCCTTTTCTACCCTGACTGATGCCCCTGTAGCTTTAGAAGCCGTATGTTTGGTCTCTTTCTCAACTTCTGCACAATTGCTGTGACTATTCGTGCACTAGTCTGCACTGTTGCAATTACTACAACCTTATTGTGTATCTTAATATCCGGTAGTGCTCATCTCCCCTGTTTACGTTTTTCAGAATCATCCTGGATTTTTTTTTGCTTATATTTTTATATAAATTTTGAGCTCAGCTTTTCTAATTCCAGTAGGTAGATCAATGAATTCAAAACAAATCTTATTGTTAAACTTAACCATTTTTTTTATAATATTGACCCTTTCTATCTTTTGTTCCATTTGGTCTAGCCTTCCTTTATACCCCTCAGCTAGAGCATTTTGAATTTTTCTTACTATAAATGTTAAACATTTTTGTTAAGTTTCTTCCCGTTATTTTATCTTCTCTGTCACTTTTGTAAATGGCATCTTTTCTTCCACTATACCTTTTAACCACTTTTTCTTTTTAATTTAGGAGTCTGTTGGTTTTCAAAATAATTTTATATTAATTTCACCTTATCTTTATCATCTGTAGTTGTTTTTCAGTTGACCCTATGAACCTCTCAAGAGATGGCATCTGATCTACCTGCAAATAATGATACTTGCAGTTTCTTCCTTTCTAGTTTTTATATGTCTTTATCCTGTCTAATTATATTAAATAATGCCTTCTCAAAAATTTTAATAGTAGGGGGTGCCTGGGTGGCTCAGGTGGTTAAGCGTCTGCCTTCGGCTCAGGTCATGATCCCAGGGTCCTGGGATCGAGCCCCGCATCGGGCTCCCTGCTCGGCGGGGAGCCTGCTTCTCCCTCTGCCTCTCCTCTCTTTCTCTCTGTCTCTTATGAACAAATAAATAAAATCTTTAAAAAAAAAATTTTTTAATAGTAGGAATAGGAATGAGAAATACCCACTGGCATAAATGGGAATACAGAATACTTTTAATGTTTCTTCGCTAAGTGAGATGGTGGCTTTTTGCTTGAGATACCCTTTTTTTTTTTTTTAAGATTTTATTTATTTATTAGAGGGCACCAGCGGGGGAGGAGCAGTGGGAGAGGGAGAACCAGACTCCTGCCTGAGCAGGGAACCTGATGTGAGACTCAGTCCTGGGATTCTGTGATCATGACCTGAGCCAAAGACAGACGCTTAACTAACTGAGCCACCCAGGCGCTCCTGCGATACCATTTTTTAAAGTATGTTAAGGAAGTAGCCATCTACTTTAAGTTTTTATTAGTGCATATAGAATTCTATCAAATTCCATTTCAGCATCTGTGGAGATTGTCGTATAATTTTTCTTCTCTCTGTTAATCTCTGGATCGACTCTGTGTGGTAATGGTATTATAATGTAATGGTAATATGCCCTTGGATTCCATTTGCTAAGATACTATTTAGGGTTTTCTCCATAGGTCTCATGAGTGAGATTGGCATATAGTGTATGTGTGTGCCTGTGCTGTCTTTGACAGGGTTTTTATAAACATGATTGATTCTGATTTCATAAAAAGAATTTAGAAGTTTTCTTTCTTCTTTGCTTTAATATTACTATTTTAAATAACATTTGAGTTATGTTCCTTATAGATTTGGTAAAATCTGGCATTTGGGCTGTTGCTTTTCTTGGAGGCCAGTTCTTTGAAACTGTCTCAGCTTCCTCTATGGTAATTAACATGTCTAGATTTTCTGTCACTTTTTTTTTTTTTTTTAAGTAGGCTTTGCACGCAGCATGGAGCCCAACGCAGGGCTCAAACTCAATGACCATGAGATCAGTACCTGAGCCGAAATCAGGAGTCAGACACTTAACTGACTGAGATACCCAGGCGTCCTCTTCTGTCACTTTTTTTTTTTTTTTTAAGATTTATTTATTTTCGTGTAGGGGGGCAGAGGGAGAGAGAGAATCTCAAGCAGACTCTGCACTGAGCATGGAGTCCAATGCAGGGCTCGATCTCACGACCCTAAGATTACAACCTGAACTGAAACCAAGAGTTGGGTGTTTAAGTGACCAAGCCACATCAGGTGCCCCTTCTCTCACTTTAATATCAGTTTGTATTTTTGTTTTGTTTTTGTTTTTTTAAGGATTTTATTTATTTGACAGAGACACAGCGAGAGAGGGAACACAAACGGAGAGAGGGAGAAGCAGGCTTCCTGCTGAGCGGGGAGCCCGATGCGGGGCTCGATCCCAGGACATTGGGATCGTGACCTGAGCCGAGAACTGAGTTCTCAACAACTGAGCCACCCAGGCACCCCTTAATATCAGTTTTGTTCACTGATATTTTCCTACAAAATAATCTCTTTAAGGTTTTTTTTAGTGTATTTAATAAAATTAAATAACCTATTGTCCTCTCTCTGTCCTCTGAGTCTGTGGTTCCTCCATTTTCCTTTTCTATTTTGCGTACTTGTGTTTTATCCCCTTTCCCTGATTTGATGAACTAACATTACCTTCCTTCCTCCCCTCTTCTCCCTCCTTCACCAAAGAAACCGCTTTGAGATTCGTGTTCTAGTGCTACCATTTGTTTTCTTACTAATCAGTTTCTGCTTTTGTCTTGAATGCTTTCCTTCTAGTTTAGCATATTTAACACGCTTCTTTGGCATTTATTTTATGGTCCTTTTACTGACTTGAGTTAGTCATTCTTCATTCTTTTATATTTATTATTTTACTTATTGCCATGTAATGTATCACCTCAAAACTTAATGGCTTAAAACAACTGTAGTCATTTGTTTCTGTGGATCAGGAATTTGAGAAGGGCTCAGCTGGATTGTTCTGGCTTGGGACGTCTTGTGTGGCTGTTGTCAGATGGTGCTGGAGCTGAGGCAGCAGGGGACTGGAGCAGCTGGAAGCCAACAGGCATTGCTTTTATCGGGGCTTCTACATAGGATCTCTCTCCCTTTTTAGAACAACTTTTTTGAGATATAATTCACATACCGTACAGTTTATCCATCTAAAATATACAGTTTGGGGCTCAGTCAGTTAAATATCCAACTCTTGATCTCAGCTCAGGTCTTGATCTCAGGGTCGTGAGTTCAAGCCCACGCTGGGCTGCACATAGGGCGTGGAGCCTACTTAAAAAAAGAAAAGTATATAGATCAGTAGTTTTTCATGTATTTACAGAGTTTTGCAGCCATCAACACAATTTTAGGACGTTTTCATTATCCCAAGAGGAAACCCTATGCCCATTAACAGTGATTGCTAAACGCCCCCACGCCGACACCACCATCCTCTGCACCCCTCCCTAGGCAACCACTAATTTACTTTCTGTCTGTATACATGTTCCTTTCTTATGGACATTTCATATGAAGGGATCATACAATATGTGATTTTATTTGTGACCAGCTTCTTCAACATAATGTCTTCAAGATTCATCTGTGATGTAGCATAAGTAAGTACTTCCTTTTTATTGCCAAATAATATTCCATTGTATGGATGTACCACATGTTGTTTATCCATTCATCAATTGATGGACATGGGATGCTTCCACTTTTTGCTGTTAGGACTAATGCTGCTATGAACATTCATATAGCAGTTTTTGTGTGGACATATGTGTTTTTTTTTCTTGGTTATTGTCTTAGTCCATTCTGGCTACTATAACAAAATACCACTGGGTAGCTTATAAACAACAGAAATTTATTGCTCACAGTTCTGGAGGCTGGGAAGTCCAAGATCAAGACTCCAGCATGGTTGTGTTCTAATGAAGACCCTCTTTCTGGTTCAAAGCTAGCACCTCTCACTGTGTCCTCACATGGTAGAAGAGGCTAGGGATCTCTCTGGAGCCTCTTCTACAAAGGCACTAATCCCATCCATGAGGGTTCATGAGGGTCGGGAAGGCTGACCCGAACATTCAGACCATAGCAGTTATACCCCTAGGAGTGGAATTGCTGGATCATATAGTAACTCTATTTTATTCTACCAGACTGTTTTCCATAGCAGGTGCACTGTCATGCATTCCCACCAGCAGTGAATGAGGGTTCCAGTTTCTCCATATTCTCTCAAACAATTGTTAGTTATATTTTTTTATTAATGCCATCCTTATAGATGTGAAGTGGTATCTCATGGTTTTGAATTGCATTTCCCTATGGCTAATGTTATTTAGCCTCTTTTGATGTGCTTATTGGACATTTGCATATCTTCTTTGGAGAAATGCCTATGCAGATCATGTGCCCATTTTTTTTTTTTTTTAAGATTTTATTTATTTATTTGAGAGAGAGAGAATGAGAGACAGAGAGCATGAGAGGGAGGAGGGTCAGAGGGAGAAGCAGACTCCCCGCCGAGCAGGGAGCCCGATGCGGGACTCGATCCCGGGACTCCAGGATCATGACCTGAGCCGAAGGCAGTCGCTTAACCAACTGAGCCACCCAGGTGCCCCTCATGTGCCCATTTTTAAATAGGATTGTCTTTGTATTATTGAATCTTTGTATATTCGAAGTGACCCTTATCAGATACCTGATTTGCGTATATTTTCTCTCATTCTTTGAATTGTCTTTTCAGTATTTGATGGTGTCCTTTGAAGCATAAAAGGTTGTTTTGTTTTGTTTTGTTTTTTGAAGCATAAAAGTTTTAAACTTTGATGAAATTCAGTTTATTCTTTTGTCAGTTGTTTTTGATGTCAGGTCTAATACATATGATCTGTTTTAAGGGCTTGTTCAGGCTTCCTCACATCACAGAGGCGCCTCAGCATTAATATAAATTAGTACTTTAAACTCTTCCTGGATAAAGACTTTAGAACACTTTAACTCTATTTACCTACCAAATTAAATACTGTTCTTTAAATATATTTTAATTCTGTATACATTTTTTTAAACCCTACACAATCTTTTTTGTTTTATATGATCAGCATCCACTTCACTTCGTCCAAATACTTACCTTTTTGTTGCTCTTCATTCCTTTCTGTGTCTTGCAGATTGTTTTTCTTCTACCTAAAGAACACTCCTTAGGACTTCCTTTACAGTAAATCTGATCTTTTCACTCAGCATAAAATTCTTTGTGGTAGTTATTTTCTTTTAACACTAGGAATGTATTATTCCAGTGTTTTCTGGCTTTTTTGTGTTGAAAAGTCAGTCTTATTTTTGCTTTTGAAGGCAGTATGTGCTTTTAAGAACTTATATTTGATTTCTGAAGTCTTCCTGTGCTATATTTAGATTTCTGTCATTTGGGGTTTTTTAATTCATCCTGCTTAGATCTTCAAAACAAATCAAGCCACTGTCCTTCCTGAATATTTGTATTTTGACTTCAAATATTGCTTCTTATCTCTCTCTTTCAGAACTCCACTTACATAGTTGGTAAAACCTTTTCACTGTAGTCTTTATTTCTACTGTTTTCTTACCTAATTTTCAAGCATTTTGTATCTATTCCTTATTTAGGCTGCTTCCTTTTTTCTTTTTTTTTTTTTAAGATTTTATTTATTTGAGAGAGAGTACACGTGTTAGGGGGAGGGACAGAGGAAGAGGGAGAAGCAGACTCCCCACTGAGCAGGGAGCCTGATGCGGGGCTCCATCCCAGGACCCCGGGATCATGACCTGAGCTGAAAGCTGACACTTAACCGACTGGGCCACCCAGGTGTGTGTGTGCGTGTGTGTGCGTGCGTGTGTGCATGCGCACAGGGGGTGTTTGTACACATGGACTTATGTTTATATAGCCTTCTCTTCTTAGGACCTGGCAGAGATTGCTGGTTCCACAGAAGCCCATTTCAAAGTTTCTGTCCATCCTATGTCACTGACAGCCTGCTCCCCCCCACCTCCGCACACACAGGTGTGTGTTCCCTTATAGTCTAAGCTCCTCAGAAATTCCTGTCAGATGGAGTGGAGGTTCCCCTTGTTCCAAACAGGGTATTGGTCTTGTCCTCCCAGGGCACACCACCGTCTTTGGAAAACTTTCTGCCTTTCTGAAGCTTTCTCTTCCTTATCTGAAGTCTGTAGTTGTACTTCTGTCACTGCATTTATCAGCTCCTCCTCTTATGTGTTGTGATTTGGTATTGCACATGTCTGCTGGTTTCATCAAAGATTTTCAGTTCTGTGCCTCATTCTTCTCCCTGGATCGGGGTGATTTCAGAGGAGAGAAAGGTCAGAGGCATCTGTATTCCGTTACCTTACAGTTGGACGTCCATTTCAATTAAACTACTCTCTTGGGCATAAACTGTAGAATGTCTCTGATTTTTTTCTTTTTATGTTATAAGCAGTGTGGCAGTGAGCATCTGGTATATATGTGCCCTTTAGATACATAAGGGTTTGTAGAATAGATATAAAAAGGTTGTACTGATAGATCCTAAGGATATACATTTTTAATTTAGTCAGTAATGCCAAATTGTTTTCCTAAATTCGCCAGCATGTGAGACTTTTCCCACATCCTTATCAGTGTTTGATATTATCTAACTAAAAACTCTGCCAGTCTTATGGGGGGGGGTGGAGGGTCTTTTTTTAATTTGCATTTTGCTAACTACTAATGAAGCTTAAATTCTTTCCATATTTTTTAACAATCCTCATTCCTCTGCTGTTTTGTCATTCTTTCATTATTTCCTCTACTATGCAGTTATTTTTTAGTGGTCTCAGGTGAGATTATAATTCAAACTATAACTCAGGTTCCAGTCTTTGAATGGCTACTCTGATTCTTACAGTTGTGATCAAATTTCATTATTAAGAGAAATGTTGAGAATAGGTTTTGTTGGGTAGGGTGTTTTGGTTTTTGTTTCTTTCCTGTCCTGTCTCCGAAGCTCAACATAAGTACACAAGGAGACATAGACCTAGGAAAGAAATTGAATTATTATTAAAATTTCATTTTTTCTTAGACAAATAAACCTCAGACATCACGACCCAATCTCATCAAACCAGCTGCCCAGTGGCAAGATCTCAAAAGATTGGGAGAAGAAAGGCCTAAAAAGTCTAGAACAGCCTTTGAATCAGATAAGAACGGCTATTTTTCAGTGTGTAACAGCTCATTGTTTGATTCTGGGGCACAGGATGATTCTGAGGATGACTACGGTGAATTTCTGGATCTTGGGCCTCCTGGAGTTTCTGAATTCATTAAGCCAAGTGGCCAAACAGAAAGAGAACCCAAACCTGGACCAAGTCATAACCAAGCAGCAAATGACATTGTCAACCCGAGATCAGAGCAGAAAATCGTTATCTTGGAAGAAGGTAGCCTTCTTTTACCAGAAGGTGATCCTCTGGACTCTCAGAACCAGTCATCTGAAGATTCAGAGACAGAGCTTTTATCAAACCTTGAAGAATCTACTGCTATCCTAGATGATCAAGCCATCGAAGAAGACTGCTGGTTAGACCATCCTTATTTCCAGTCCCTAAACCAACAGCCCCGTGAGATAACAAACCAGGTTGTTCCTCAGAAGCGGCAGCCTGAAGCAGAACTGGGCCCGTTGTTGTATCAGCATGAACCCCCAGGGCTGGCTTTTCCAAGGCCAGCTTTTCCAAGACCAGAACCCCAGCAGGATGGGATTCCAGGCCCTTCTTCTCCTCAGCCTGCCCATCCTCTAGGAGAGCTTGAAGACCAACAACTAGCAATAGATGATGAAGAGCCAGGGCCAGCCTTTCCACTACAAGGATCTCAGGAGCCCAATTTGGAAAACCTTTGGGGGCAAGAAGCTACTGAGGTAGATCAAGAACTCGTTGCACTTTTAGTGAAAGAAACAGTAAGTTTTATTTTATTTAAGTGAATAATTACAGTAAATGTAGTGAGTTTTCTTTTACTGCAAAATCACAACGGGGGGAGGGGGGCACTTCATTGTCCTAAGGGATCTATAGGTGGATACCAGAAGAAAGACTCTGAAGATAGGAAAATTAAATCAGTATTCCTCATCTACCCTTAACCCCACAGCAAGCCCTCTGGGATTCTAGCTGCAGATCATGGGTACCCTGGTGCTATCATATGAGCAATCCCCCTGGTTTTAAAAAGGTTTTGAGTTAATTCCAATTCAGACCCATAAGGCAGGTTTATAGATTATCTAGAGCTGCACTGTCCAGTGTGGTAGTTTCATGTACCTGTTTAAATGTAAGTGTCTTACAATTAAATAAAATTGATAATTCAATTTCCAGTGGTACTGGTCACATTTAAAGTGCCTGACAGTCACATGGGGCTGAAGAGCTACCATACTGGAAAGCACAGAATAGAATATTTCCATCATTGTATGAAGTTCTTTTGGATATCCCTGATACAGAGTGTGATGCAGGGCTGTGGGTTCTGGCTCAGCTGCTCATTGCCTTTGAGCAGGCTTTTAACCCTTCTTCCCCCGGGTGTTTTCATCTGGCACACTAGCTCATGTGCATCTTAAGAGGTAGTGCTTTACTCCTTTTCGGACTCCTTTTGCCTGGGCAGAGATGTTCAGCGTTAATTGAAAGAGTGAAGAACGGGGAGACGAGCCATGAGAGACTATGGACTCCGAGAAACAAACTGAGGGTTTTAGAGGGGAGGGGGGAGGGGGGCTGGGTTAGCCGGGTGATGGGTATTAAGGAGGGCACGTATTGCATGGAGCACTGGGTTTTATACGAAAACAATGAATCATGGAACACTACCTCAAAAACTAATGATGTACTGTATGGTGATTAACATAACATAATAAAATAAAAGTTAAAAAAAAAAAAAAAAACACGAAGAACAGATATGGAAAGTGGCAGAGGACCAGATAATCTCTAGGGTCCTTTCTAGAGTCCACAGTCTATGCAGACACATACGTCTGCGCACAGACCTGCCTTACAGCCCCTTTCTCGTCTTGAGTCATTTTACTTTTTGCCATCTGGTTTTTATTGCAATTTGAAACCATTCTTGTGGATAAAAATAATGTTTTTATTCCTTTTCAGGAGGCAAGATTTCCAGATGTTGCAAATGGGTATATTGAGGAGATAATTCATTTGAAGAATTACTATGATTTGAATGTGTAAGTACACCACATGCCTTTTGTTTTTCTTATTGTAGTGAAATACACATAATATAAAAATCTACCGTTTTTACCATTTTTAAGTATACAGATCAGTGGCATTAATTATCTCCACATTTTTGCACAACCATCACCACCATCTCCAGAACATTTTCATCTTCCCGAAATGGAACTGTCCCCATTAAACATTAACTCCTCATCTCCTGCCCCTCCACCCCCAGCCCCTGGGACCTACACTTCTACTTTCTGTCTCTCTGAATTTGACTACTCCAGGGACTTCATAATAGTAGAATAACACAGTATTTGTCCTTTTGTGACTGGCTTATTTCACTTAGCATTATGTTTTCTTTAATGATCCTCTTAGAAGAGTTCTAATTTTAGTCATGGACAGACTTTTCTGGGTTTTACTTAATCCTGCATGGTTATGGAATTAAGGTGTTTTGTTAATTCTGAGCATTGATACTGCGTGTTTTGGTCAGGTTGTTTAAAGACATTTTCTTCCCTATATTTGTAACAAAGTGTTCTGCAACCACTCTGCCTGTTTGGAGAAGTGTATGGAAGTGTTTCTTTAGTGTTTATCATAAAAATGATAACTATAATTTTTAAAAAATAAAAGTGTCCCAAAGAAAACAAAGTAAGTCCTTTTCTTTTTACACTCTTTTCCCTCCTAGTCTGCAGAGGTAAAACCGTTGTAAGTTTGTGAGGAACGTAGAATACTGAAACTAATAAAATTTTCAGTTAATTAATACAGATTGCATCCATCAGACAGAAGTAGTAGTATACCTAAACCTCTGTCCTCAAAAGATTATGCCCAGCACTTATAGTACTCAGCCCAGAGTGCAAGTGAGAGCTGTTCCCTGCCACGGCCAAGTGGGAAGAGCCCCATTTCTCAGGTCAGGAGCCAGAGGAGATGCTCTATTCTAATTCGTACAAAGACACTGTTGGTGCCAGTGGCCACCCTGTCTGTCGCCCTCTATCCAGGGACAGCCACTGTGACCCGGTTCTTTTTTAAGATTTATTTTTTTGAGAGTGAGAGATAGTGAGAGAGAGCACAAGCGGGGAGGAGAGGGAGAAGCAGACCCCGCTGAGCAGGGAGTCCAACACGGGGCTCAATCCCAGGACCCCGGGATCATGACCTGAGCTGAAGGCAGACGCTTAAACGACTGAGCCCCCCAGGTGAACCAGAAATGAGTCAAAGTTTCATAATGTGTTTATCTCTTTAGCTTCTTAATCTAGAATAATCCCCCACTTAATTTTTTTTTAAATTTTTCCTCCTAGTATTTTTTAACATAGGTTGAAAGACTGTACAATGAACACCCATATATCCACCACCTGGATTATTATCTGGCATTCTGCTGTAAGACTTTTGTCCTTTTACTTCTTTTTTCTCTTTTTCTAAGTTACTGTGGACTTACAGTTTTTATATAAGTGGTATTTTAAAATGAGTTACAACCTTTTTTGTTTTTGGTACTGAATTATCCTACGTTTGACCAGTAGGAACCTCTTAAGATGCATCTGTATCATTTTGACAGGGCCCAGTTAGTCTGAGCATGTCCTTGCTTTGTAAAATACAGAGTTGCCTGGGCTTACCTTGAATGTTTCTGCCCTAACCCTGGAATGTGGTCATTTCTCCAAGAAACCCAGGTTTTTGCCACTAGCATGTCATCACTTGTCAGCCCTTACAGGAGAGAGACGAAGGAAATACGGGTTTTTTTTAATTACATGTTCATGATTTCCCATTTAAGTTTAACATTAAGGTTTTTTCCCCTCAGTCTTTCTAAATTTTACATTTTTGTGTTCTTCCACTAAAAATGTAGTTTCTAGTAACATTAGTACATTTTTTTATCCTATAATATACATAAAATAAATTGTAGTACCAGTGTTACTATTGAGGACTACTACTGAGTGAAGTAAAAAATGTTTTATAGTTATTTTGTGCTTAATGCATATCTAACTAAGGCAGTACAGTTAGAATATAGACTATCCTAGGCAGTAGATCAAATCACGTTCCTCAGTTCTAGAAATTTGGTAGCCAGTATCTCCTCAAATAATCTTTTCTCTTCCTTTTGCTGTCAGTGCTTCTCCCCCGTCCTCTGTGGCTCTTGACCCCATCTCTTTGTCTCTGTGATACACTCTGGGTGATTGCTTCAATGCAGTCCTCCAGCTCACTAATTTTCTTTTTAGTGGGGTGTAATCTGCCATTAAACTCATCCACAGAGGTGCCTGGGTGGCTCAGTTGTTACGCGTCTGCCTTTGGCTCAGGTCTTGATCCCAGGGTGGGATCAAGCCCCGCATCGGGCTCCCTGCTCAGCAGAAAGCCTGCTTCTCCCTCTCCCACTTCCCCTGCTTGTGTTCCTGTTCTCGTTCGCTCGCTCTCTGTCAAATAAATAAAATCTTAAAAAAAAAAAAAAAAAGCTCATCCACAGTATTTTTAGTTCCATGTCCTATATTCTTCTCATTCTGGCATCCTTATTTTATAATACTCCGGATCATTTTTCTAGTGTCATTTTTTGACTGTATTTTTAATCCATTTAGTTCTCTAAACACAATAAACATAGCTTCTTTGTGTTCTGAGTGTGATCATTCTGACACGTGAAGTCCTTGTGAATCTCATTCTGTTGTTTCTGCTGGCTCTCTTGGTGTCCTGTTTTCCTTGTGCGTTTTGTAAATTTTGACTGTGAGCTCATTTCTTGGGGTTTTGATAGAAATGGTTCCTTCTGGGAGGATTCACTTTTGTCTTTCATCATGTGCCCAGGGGCAGTGTCAGTCTAACACTACTTTATACTTTAGATTGTTGTCTGCAAGGCTTTGGGTCATCAAGATGGTAAGAATTTAGTCCTGGATGAGGACTGGGTATAATCTTCACCAATTCTCACAGGGCGTTTTGTTTTCCTCTCCATCCACTCGTCAGTATTAAAGCATGTTTCTCCTTGTGGTCTGTAAGATTTGTCTGTGTGCCCTATGAAGTAAGAGCTCAAGAAGATGATGATTATCATCATCATTTTCTTTTTGAATATATAAATGACTTGATGAGTGCGCTCAGGAAAATGTCGCTTCTGTTTAGCTTACTTCTCTGGGGTTTCACTTTCACTTAGGTTTGGACTCCTAGGAACTCCTAACTTTAATTTGATTACTTTACAAGTTCTGTTTTAATATCAGCATTTTTTAAGCCTTTTTTCTTGTGGACTGCATACAGAAAAATGCACAAAATAAAGATAGCCAGCATAGTAATTTATCACAAATCAAACATTCATGTAACTACCACCTAGAAATCTTCAAAAAATAGAACATTGCCACCATCTTTAAACACTAAGATTTTGTGAAGATTTCATGTTGTCTCTGTTCTTTTGTGACTGGCTTCTTTCACTCAGCATTATGTTTCTGGGGTTTACCCATGCTTTGTAGTTCATTCATATTCATTGCTATGTGGTATCCCATTTGTATCAAAATACTATAATTTTTCCCTCTACTTTTTTTTTTTTTAATATTTTATTTATTTAGTTGACAGCACAAGCAGGGGGAGCAGCAGGCAGAGGGAGAGGGAGAAGGTATTTACTTGAGAGGGAGCAAGAGCAAAAGAGAACATAGAGGGAGAGGGAGAAGCAAACTCCCTGCAGAGCAGAGAGCCCAACGCAGGGCTCGATTCCAGGACCCTGGGATCATGACCTGAGCCAAAGGCAGACGCTTAACTGACTGAGCCACCCAGGCACCCCTGGCTACTGATATTTTCAAGCAGAAATTTTTTATTTCTGAATTTTTGGTCTTGTTTCTCATCTTTGGGAGGATTGGTCTGCCATTACTAAAAATAAAAGTGCTGCTTTATTGTAAGCTTTCAAAATTTTTGAATATTTAAATTACTTGGTAATTACATTATTTTTAACTAATAAACTTTGTCTTTAGAGCATTTTTAGATTCATAGCAAAATTGAATGGAAATAACTAGTACATTTTTACAATAAAAAGTATCTCCTAGACTTCCCCTCAACTAAAAAACAACTGATTTTATTTTTATGTAACCTTTTAGTTCTTGGAATGCAACACAATTTTTTCAGAGAGTAAATGCATTTCTGGGTATTTTGTTTATGAAATAATGCTAAGCAAAAAATATTTTCCATTTTTTTCCTCAGTTTTATTGAGTTTTCCTCTTCATTAAATACTTTGTTCATAGGGGCGCCTGGGTGGCTCAGTCGTTAAGCGTCTGCCTTGGGCTCAGGTCATGATCCCAGGGTCCTGGGATCGAGTCCCGCATCGGGCTCCCTGCTCAACAGGAAGCCTGGTTCTCCCTCTCTCACTCCCCCTGCTTGTGTTCCTGCTCTCGATATCTCTGTCTCTGTCAAATAAATAAATAAAATCTTTAAAAAAAAAAAAAAAAACAACTTTGTTCATAGTTTTCACCCATGTTCTAATGAACATTATTCTCCATATGGCACTTTCCCTTTTCTTTCTCTATACCTGCTACATGCTAAAACCCTAAAAGTTAAAATTCAGGGTTGGACATTATAAACAAATTCATGGTCATTGAAACTATTTCCAAATAGATTTCCAGTGGAGTTGTACCAGTTTATGTTGGTGTTGGAGATGTACATGAATTGCTTTAGTAATTTCTCAGTGATGATGCATAGTGGTGGTGTTAACTAGGCATAAAGTAGCTTACTATTTTAGTTTATTTCTTTGATAATGGGCTGCATGGCAGTTTTCATGCATTTGTTTGACTAATTGTATTTCTCTCCTTTGTGAATTGTTTGCATCTTTTCTCACTGAATTCTTTTGTTGTTGTTCGTGTTTTCCTGATTAGGAAACACAATACTTGTGTGTTCAGTTTGGAAAATATAAATGATTAAGTATAGACTTAGCCCATGTAGCTAAGAATACTGTAGAATATTCTAAAGAATATAGAATAGTGATTTGAATAGGAAATGCCAAATTTAAGTATTTTTTAATAATTTATGGTAAATACTAAAGTAACCCTTTAGAAATTTAGTATACTTTGTTTCCCTCTCATTCTACAAATGAATGTATTATTTTTCAAGTATTTGCAAGATTAATTTCTGTGAAATACCAGTAAAATGGGATCAAATTGACAGATTCTGTGACAATTTGTTCTCTTACCTCCTGAGTCTCATACGTATCCTTTTTTCTAGGGACTTACTGATTCTGTGCTTTTCACATCACTCGTGCAAATATTCGTTCTTAAACATATAAAAATTCTTGTGAAATCCAAAGAAAGGGGACTGTGCAGTAATTGTATTAAATCTTTTCAAACCTGTAGTCTTCTGAGTTTCCTAACATGACTTTTGTTCCTGGGCTCTTGGGACTAAGGTGTTAATTCCCACAACTAAGCTAAATATTGTTAATGTAGACCCAAAGGGAGACACAAAACAAAGTTGAGCAGGCTGGCATTGTGTGTGGCTGACTCTCGGTTACTTTATGTGCAATCTTTAAATCACCTTTAGACATAACCAGCTGGTCATTTTAGCAAGAGGGATTTATTCACCAGAGAACCTCCTGTGATGGTAATCTCTTTGAGCTGATTACCAAGTCTTTTCACTCACATGTGATGAATCTTAAATTGGATCGAGACAGCAACAACTATCTAAGGAATAAAAGCTTGGAATACTAGCTTGGCTCATTTAGGAGGAGTGCTTTCTTGAGACCCTTCAGCTTGTCAGGTCAGATCAGATGTGAAATAACATACATAGGTGGGCAGATTTGAGTTCTCACAAGCCTCCCACCCCAGGCTGTAAATATTGATGTCTTGGGTTATAGTTCATTTCCACAGAGAAACTTTGTATTTAATTACCTGTGCCACTGAATGTCATTTAACCTCCAGGAAAGTTCTGTTGGCAAGGGTGAAGATATTAAAATAGAAATGACTTTGACAGTTCAAAATGAGAGCCTTTGGGGGTGCCTGGGTGGCTCAGTTGGTTAAGCGACTGCCTTCGGCTCAGGTCATGATCCTGGAGTCCCGGGATCGAGTCCCGCATCGGGCTCCCTGCTTGGTGGGGAGTCTGCTTCTCCCTCTGACCCTCCTCCCTCTCATGCTCTCTGTCTCTCATTCTCTCTCTCTCAAATAAATAAAATCTTAAAAAAAAAAAGAGAGAGCCTTTGGGCGGGGGCGGGGGGGGACGCCTTTTGTTGTCAGTCAGTAGAGGGCTTCCGATTCTTGATATCAGGACTGGGGCCGGGATCATGAGTTTGAGCCACGCGTCAGGTGTACAGATTACTTTAAAAAAAAAAAAAAAAAAGATTGCATCATAAACAGGTTTGACTTAAGATTGAAACATAAATATGTAACAGAATGAGACCCTCTGATTTCTGCCATGTGGAATTCCTTCTCTTGCAATGTTTCGGCATGTGATCTTCTTAATACTGGAAATATAAAATGAATTGGTCAGAGAAGAACCCCTAAAATATGGTTGGTCTTTTGTTTTCTTTTCTAGAAATTACACCTACTATTCAACCTCTGTGTCATATACTGTAATTCTGTATAATGTTCTTTAGAAAATAAAAGAAAATTTTAAAGGATGAGATTTTTAAAAATAGGAGTTGTAATACTTCTTCCAGTACCGTAGCAGATCATCTTCCACGCACCCCACGTGGATACCACTGGCTTCGCTCATGGGTAGCCATTTTTGTCAAAGAAGATTCTTCACTGAGTGACCTTTTTATCTTTCCCCAAGTTCCTGATACCTGGCTGTTTATTGGGTTGTGGTAGCCACACTTATCAGAACATTACAAATAGGCATATTTGAGATTGAGGGGCTTCTCCACATCTGGGTTGTAGTTTGTCTGGATGTGCATGTGAACAGAGTTGTTTAGACTTTGAGGCCTTTCCCCAATGATACTAGATTCTTGGTGGTGGCTAACTCTCAGGTCAGCCTACAAAGAGCTGTATAACCTGCAGAAGGGGTTGCAGATGAAACATGCCCTCCCAGACTCTGTTCCCAGACACACTCCCCCGTGGGTGAGAAGAGGAGCTGGGGGGAAGTGCTTTTTCTCTCCTCTTCCTGCTGGACCTGTCCTACTATTAAAGGCTCCACTGTTGGCACTGGACAGGAGAGACCTGGGAAGAAGAGATTCAAGAATCATGGGGTAGAGTCATCTGAAGAACCTGCAGGAGCAAGGAAAGGGAGAAAGATGGAGAAGGGAATCCCCATGGCCCTGTGAGCCGAGAAGCTTTCCTGCTACTGAAGTGGCTAGTGCTACACGCCCCCCAGGCTGTTCTTATCTGTGGAATCATCCCAAGAGCCCAGCATGTTGCTGTATTTGGTTGTTACAGGGTGAAGAACCTTGCTGGTTAACATTTGTTAAATCTGGACAGTGATACATCAGCATGTGTTATCTTACTCTATATCCTTACCTTTAAATGTATTTCATAATGGTGATAAAAGGACAAGGCTATAGGTTTGGCATGAAGAGAGTCTGTTCTTAGGCAGACATGGTCTGTTCCTTCAGCCTTGCAGCTGGGCAAGCTGAACGTCACTGAAATTCTTCATGGGGACTTGTATTACTAGAGGGTTACAAAAAGTATTAATGAATTAACAGAAGGTCTTTTAATTCCATCCATTTACTTTAGCAAACTGTTTTATGGCTTTTTATTTTTATTTAAATTCAATTAACATATAATGTATTACTGTTTTAGAGGTAGAGGTCAGTGATTCATCAGTCTTAATATAATACCCAGTGCTCATTATATCGCGTGCCCTCCTTAATGTTATCACCCAGTTACCCCAACCCCCACCCCTTTCCGCTCCAGCAACCCTCAGTTTGTTTCCTATTATCAAGAGTTGCTTATGGTTTGTCTCCCTCTCTTTTCATCTTTTTTTCCCCTCTCTTCCCCTATGATCCTCTGTTTTGTTTCTTAAATTCTACATATCAGTGAGATTATATAATTGTCTTTCTCTGATTGACTTACTTCGCTGAGCATAAAATCCTCTAGTTCCATCCACATTGTTGCAAATGGCAAGATTTCTTTCTTTTTTTTTTTTTTTTTTGATGGCTGAGTAGTGTTCCGTGTGTGTGTGTGTGTATCACGTCTTCTTTATCCATTCATCTGTCGATGGACATCTGGGCTCTTTTCATAGTTTGGCTTTGTGGACATTGCTGCTACAAACACTGGGGTGTAGGTGCCCCTTCGGATCACTACATTTGTATCTTTGGAGTAAATATGCAGTAGTGCAATTGCTAGGTTGTAGGGTAGCTCTATTTTCAACTTTTTAAAGAACCTCCATACTGTTTTCCAAGTGGAGCAAACTTCTTAATTGCGAATGTGAATACGTTTCCCCACCCCTTGTTTGTTACAGTTTTCTGACAAACTGTAGATACTCTTCATCTAAATTCTCCAGTTCCATACTGTTCAGTCAGTAAGAATTTGAGTGACTTCATGACATTGATACCTGACAGAAGTGTGCATTTATTAGTATGTTTATTGCTTTTTAAAACTAGAAGCAAAAATAGAAATTAAGTATATCTGTCTTTTATTTGTCTATTTCATTTTTCTGATCTGCAAACAATTTAATAGGCCAGTCATAGTGTATGATGAGGCACATTATTTTTCAAACATTGTATTTAAAAAATGGCAGGTGTGGGATTTGGAAACACTATGAAAATAACATCATTTACTTTTGCAGACTTTGTAATTTTCTTCTGGAAAATCCAGACTATCCAAAGAGAGAAGACAGAATCATTATCAACCCCAGTAGCAGCCTGCTTGCCAGCCAGGATGAGACAAAGGCAAGTGTTGTGCTCTTTGTTTTGCAGTCTACCTAGAAATGCTCTGCTTTTTTCATCTTTGTGGTAAGAAAGTGCTTTGTTGGGACACATTTTTTAAAGACTAGCCAGGAAAATAGGATTTCAGAATATACTTATCCCTTCAGTGGATTTTCCCAACCTGAGTCACTTTGGATTCTGTATTTAACTTTTGTTGTAACTCCATCATCCCTTTCCCACAAAAAGTTAAACCTTCCATATCTTTAGTCTTACAAAGCAAGTTTTTTAAAATGAAACAAGAGGGCGCCTGGGTGGCTCAGTCGTTAAGCGTCTGCCTTCGGCTCAGGTCATGATCCCAGAGTCCTGGGATCGAGCCCCACATCGGGCTCCCTGCTCCGCGGGGGGCCTGCTTCTCCCTCTCCCACTCCCCCTGCTTCTGTTCCTGCTCTCGTTATCTCTCTCTCTGTCAAATAAATAAATAAAATCTTTAAAAAAAATAAATAAATAAAAAATAAATTAAATAAATAAATAAAAAGAAACAAGAATTAGCCAGGATTCTTTGTATCATTTTGTGGGTTTTTTTTGTTTTTGTTTTTCAATATTTTATTATGATAATTTTCAAACATACAGTAAAGCCAAAAGAATTTTACACTGATCACCTATATATCTACCAGCAGTACTATTAAAAGTTAACATTTTATTATATCCACTTTGTCACATATCCATCCCTCTGTCCATCAGTGCATCTCTCTTATATTTCATTTCATTATGATGCATTTCAAAGTAAATCACAAAAACATCAGCACACTGCCCTATACATACATACTTTAGCGTGCATTTCGGCACCTAGAGTTCAATATCTGTTTATAGTTTTTCTTTTGATGTAAGATTTATATACAATGCATATACCTGTATAACCAAATCCTATATTAAAATAAAAAGTTTGATTTTTTTTTTTTTTAAGATTTTATTTATTTGAGGGAGGAAGAGAGAGAGCAAGCACAACTGAGTGGAGAGGCAAGAGGGAGAAGCAGACTCCCCACTGAGCAGTGGACCCCCCCCCCCCCCCCAAGCCCCTGCCGACGCAGAGCTCAATCTCAGAACTCGGGAACCATGACCTGGCCAAAGGCAGATGCTTAACCAACTGAGCCACCCAAGTGCCCCTGATTTTTTTTAAATCTTAATCATCACTTTATTTGTAATCCTACCTAGCATTTAGTTTCTCAAGTGGTGAAGGAAAGTCTAGATCAGAACTACTTCATGGCTGCTCGATCCTTCTACTCCCCACACATTCTTTTGACTATCTCTCTTACGTATTCTGTAGCCAGAGAAATGCTGGTTTTTTCTAAACATTTTGTGGAGAGAAATTGGCTGAAAGATGGGTTTCAAATCCGTAGCTATACTTTTTACTAGTTCTGACTGGCACAACTAGTCTCCAGACTCCAGCTTATTTAACATTTCTGAACCACCAGTTTTTTTCATCTCTGTACAGGACTGGTAACCTCTGTAATCATGTATACAAATGAGATGATTCTATTTTGTAATAAGCAGTCCTTGAAGTGATACCACTTCGTGGGAAATGCACTATCTGGCCTCCTAATGTGCCTCTCTCTCTCTCTCTCTCGTTTCAGTTGCCTAAAATAGACTTTTTTGACTACTCTAAATTGGTTCCTCTTGACCAGCGTTGTTTCATCCAAGCTGCTGACCTCCTGATGGCTGACTTCAAAATGCTCAGCAGTCAGGATATCAAGTGGGCCCTGCATGAACTCAAAGGACACTATGCAATCACCCGAAAGGTGCTCTACTTGGTCTTCCTGGTGGGGTCACACCTCTTGACTACTTCTTCCCATGACTACAGAATGAAGAGTTCAGCTTGCGGAAATTGGGATGGTTTATGATGGCAAAGAGCTAAGGAATTTGTCAGGGTGAAGATAAATAGACAAACGTATTTGCTGATCAGGAGGAACCGAATGAAAAGAAATAATAGATTAGAAGCAGGGAAGTTCTGAGGGCGCCTGCCTGGCTCAGTCAGTAGAGCATGTGACTCTTGAACTCAGAGTTGTGAGTTCAAGCTCCACCTTGGGCATGGAGCCTACTTAAAAAAAAAAAAAAAAAAGTTTCAAAACAGCAGGGAGGTTCTGGTTTGCCCATGGAGGGTAATGAATGTTATTGTAGAGGGCAAAATGACTGGGTGTGAAAGGTGTGTTCTAGCGCCCTTCCTTGCTTTCCTGTCCAGCTGGGGGCAGGTCTCCTGGTGAATGTAGCCTCACCCTGAGTCTAGGCCCCTTCCCCCTTATATGGCCAAGAAGATCGAGGCAGCTGTCAACAAACTCCTCTAATTGTAGGTTAATCTTAGGTAAAATTACTGAGGGGAACACAGAGTTAGTGCTTTCTGTTTCTGAATCTCATTTCTCATGCCAAATAGGGAATGCTGTATTGTCATTGAAAAATGAGGAGCTTCCCCCTCCCCCAAAAAACCAGGGACCGCAACTTAAGGCCCTTCTAGCATCGATGTTCTCCAGGGGTTCCTGACACCTGAGCTCCCGGGGGGCCCAGATGTAAAGGGAAAGGGCAGTAGCACAAGGCAGCTCCTGTAGCCTGGGGGCAGGTTGGTCCCGTTAGCAGCGTCCCTGCCACTGTCCTGGGACCAGTAAAAGGAATTGGCTAGCTGATGCTTCTCCCTGGTCATCCCACAGCCCACTCGTCATTTGGGTGAGAGGTGGTAGGATTTTGTGGCTCACCTCTTACTTATATCTTCTTTACCCCTTCCCTTGTCTTTCTGGTCTGTCCTATTTTTTTATGGTGTCTGCTTGTTTTGGTGAGTAGTTGGAAAATTTACAGCGTTTTGAAATGGGGTTGGGCTGGACTGTTTGAATGAAAGTGCGGTGTTTAAGGGGATGTACTATTTGGCAGAAGCTAAAACCTATTGCATTCAAGTTGGAACTTCTCCCTGCTATATGCAAATGGTGCCCAGGGGTTCTGCCCTCTGGACAGTAATGCTCTTGTGGACTGGGTGTGGGAAACACATCCGGAGATGTGTTCTAATTATGGCCATAGCACATCTTCCCTGTGACACTCCCCATACGTGATGATAGCTTAAGTCTCCTGCTATATATATGTGTGTGTTCACTGGAGACAGTCACATTTCCCTGGATTTTTCTCCCTTTGTATATAAACATCAAACACACATAAAATTAGAGATTGTCCTGTAATGAGCCCCTGCTTACCCATCACTCAGCTTCAGTAACTGTCAGCTCCTTCCTAGTTGTGTTTCATCCCATGTGACCCACTTCCCCCCTCCCTGACTGTTTTGAAGCAAACTCCAAGAATTGTTTCATTTTCTTTAAATCCATGACTATTTCACTGTTTACCTTTAAAAGATAGATTCTTTTTTGAAAAACATAATCAAAATACCATTATCACACCTTAAAAAGTAACATTATTAGATATCCACTCATTTTGTTCAAATTTCTCTGGATATGTCAAAAACCTTTGGTCATATTGAGTTCCAAGTAAAATTCTTTCTTGCAGTTGGTTGATGGGTTACTTAAATCTGTTAATCTCTTAAGTTCTTTCTCCTCCTTCCCACTTTACTTTTTCTTGCTGCTCATTTGTTGAAAAAAATGGGTTTATCTTACAGGTTTTGACAGTCTAGATTTTGCTGATTGTACCCTGCGGCATCATTAACCAGTTCTTTGGTACGCTGTATTTCCTATAAATTCATAGTTAGATCTAGAATCTTGATCAAACTCAGGTTTAATTTCTGTCCCCCCTTGAATTTTGATTCCATTTCTGCCAAATGGGTCTCTGACTTTGAGCCATGTCTTGAACATGGAGAGCTTCAGTTCTCTCGGTGAATAGTGGATGTTTTATGTGGCTAATAGGAGAATTAAGTGGGAAACAGTGTAGAGTAAGCCCGTCACAGTGCTTCATGTGTATCAGGTTTCAGTAATAAGTTCCCTCCCTCTGCACTTCCTTCTCTGTGCGAAGGAACAGTTGCCAAGCCTCTGTATGTAGGAATTTCCCAGTGGCCCTCCTTACAATGTGATCTTAAGAGTCAGTCCTTAGAGTAACGTTACAAGAGCCTTCTCTGATGCAGCCTCCTTAGGTTCACAGTGCTGAATTCACATGGGAGGGGCCTGTGACTCCAGGGCCTGCTCTGGTTTGTTCCCAGCCTGTGGTATGGAGGCCCAGGGTGCAGGAAGACTCTGTCCCCAGTGTGTGTGTGTGGTTGAAGATATTTTAGCTCAACTCTTTATGGACGTATCCTGTGGGTAGGTTTCTTGGAGACCACAGTGCAGCTGCAGTAATGTTTCTTCTGGTTGTTAGCTCTGTAGGGACAAAAGTGCTCTCAAAACTGGATAACTTCTAAACTGGAGGGAACAGATCATCCTTAAAACTCATGGCAGGAGTTACTTGTTAAAATGAATGTTGATTTTTTTTTTTTTAAGATTTTATTTATTTATTTGACAGAGAGAGACACAGCGAGAGAGAGAACACACGGGGGAGGGGGTGGGAGAGGAAGAAGCAGGCCCCCCGCAGAGCGAGGAGCCCGATGCGGGGCCCGATCCCAGGACCCTGGGATCATGACCTGAGCCGAAGGCAGAGGCCCAACGACTGATTTTTATCAAAGTAATTTATGACCATAGCTTTAAAAATCAATTAGTGCTAGAATGCTTATTTGTAATTTTTTAAACCACAGGCTGAAGCCCCCTTCTTCACCCTCTTCCTCTGTTTTCCAGACACAACTCGATTCTTATTTGTTCTTTTTCTTTTCCTAGTACTTACGTCCACATTTATGAACACGTTTATGCTTGATTAGTTTTAGAAATCATCCATACACACTCACCTTTTCGATATACAGTTTTGGTTAAATCTGTTTTTAAAGTTTTTATTATTATGACTGTGGAAAAATGTTCAATGCTGGGGTAAGTAAGGTACTATGATAATGTCTCCTTTCTTGAATTTTCTATTTTTCTTGGAGTTAAAATTGGTTGCCTCCGTCTTTTCATTTGCTTTTTTGTTTTTGTTGCTTTGTTTTTTGATGCTGTGGCTGTCTTTTCATGGCTGACAACTCTAAAACGCTGTTTTAATCACAGTTTGCCTGTTGTCAAACCTGACCATCAATCCTCAGTTCATTTTTTTCCCTTCCTCCTCCATGCCTGTGTATAACTGTCCTCTTGGGAGTTCCCTTTGCCTTTGGACAAAGCTTGATCCTCTGTGTTCTAGATCCTGACAACTTTCTCTGTCTTGGTTTACACACTCACACTTGGCTCATAGTTCCCCTGGGTTGAAAATTATTGCTCCGCCAAGTTTTTCCTCAATAATCCTGCCACAGATAAAACCGTCTCTTTCATTCAGATAGCATGTTGAGTGCCTGCTACGGGCTATGCACAGAGAGAGTCACAGTAAACAGTGGAAGGCTCCTTCCCTTGTGGAGCTTAATACTAGTGGACAGTGTCCTCTATTTTAATCACCCCTTAACTTCTGTTCTCTGACATGTGCTCATTTTGAGGGTCTCCACTCCCCAGCCTCCTCAGATTTCTCCCCTGTGTACTTTAATGATCACCTCTGTCTCCTTACAGGTGACAAGGTCTGCATTTTTGGACCTGATCTCCACCAGCGTCCACAGAGGAGTCTGTGGCCATTCCTCAGCTTTTATTTCATCAGATACCCACTGTAGTATTTCTAGGTCATCCCTTAAAAGTTAAGATATCCTAAGAATCTTAGAGCAGACTGTATCCTTGGTTCTCAGAACCAGTACCTTGAGTGGGGATTTGATTTGTGAATGTGAGCAAGCTGGAGAGAGAAATGCCAGATAAGTGTAAAAGGAAAAATTGTTTACAATATCTGTTGTTCCTGTGTTCCTCCTGGTAGGTTTTTTTGAGTACTTTGTGATAATTATCGGCTAGACCCTGAAGACAGTGGCATCTGTAGAACACAAATTAGCTTCCTTACAAAGAGCTTTCAGTCTATCTGAGAAGATTAAAGGGAAAAAAAGATTAAAACGATGTGATGAGTATTGGAAAAGAACGAATAAAAGTACATGAGAGCACCAGGAAAGAAACGAGGGTGTTATTTGAACAGGATCTTAAGGGAAAGATGTTTTCACTGGAGAAATCTTACGTGCAGAGGCAAAAAAAAAACAACAAGTAACCATGGTGCCTTTGGGTATGTAGGTGTGAATTATAACTAGCAGTTCTTGAAAGGGAAGAACTCTGATTTATAATTGTATTTGGTCTATTTAACTAGATCTTTAGTTAATAAGAAAAGGGATGGTTGTCATAACTACTGAAGTAAGATTTTGCAGGCTCCTTTAGTTTGTCGGCAACATTTGTTTTAAGGTACACTTTTCTTGACAAGGGCCAGTATGGATTTTTTTCCTTCTAACTAGAAATAGTATTTAAATGGGACCAAGGTAATGACCTCATTTCACCTCCAGACAGGAGGGTGGTGTGGTTGAAGACCCAGTGGGCTACCAGTTAACAAGCTCTGAGTTCACATTGCCATTCATTAGTTGCTGATAAATGACATCTACCCTTTAATCACCTCATTTATAAAATTCAGGTTATCATAACTTGTCCTGCCTTTTTTCCTGGGTTTTTGCAAATAGCCCTAATTCAAGGATGAAGTGTTTACCTTCTAGGTAGAACTTGGTAGAAATTAGTGGTCTTGCTGTGGAGTACATACATGTGACTTTAAGATTGGTACCTAAGGTTTGTGGGGAACACCTCGGATAGTCAGAACTCCAGAAAGAAGAAACAAAGCAAGGGAGGATGTTGATCAGGGAGATGGAGAGGTAGTAAGATGACTGCTGTTGGCCAGCTCTTGGTGGGTTTCCCTTAACCGCTCTGTGAGGACAAGGTGATGTCCTTCTCTGTAAGCCTCGCTTCCCTCTGCTATGAAAGAACCCCTTCCTCAGAGAGTTGCTGTGAGAATCCCATGACTGGAGGGGTCACCAGACCCACACAGAGTGCTTCACTCACAGAGGTGTATAAGCACATGGTGATTCCCTTCCTGCTCCCAAACCTGAGAGCTTTGGAAAGGAGGGGATAGAAGGTAGGTAAAGATGGAAAGATGATCTGTCCCTCTTCTGTAGCTAAAATAGTTGTTTTCTCTTTCTTTCATTTTACCAGAGGGACACACAGCTGTTTTCCTAAGATAAATATTCAGAATGTGACTTAACTAGCAACATTCCTGTAACACATAGATATCCCTGTAACCTTTTATTACTCACCAAGAGTATGAAATGCAAACCATGCAGGTTGCCAAGGATACACCCTGGGTTTTGGTCACCTTCTCTGTCTTCCAGAAGCCCATTGTCCAGTGGAGGGGATGACATGAAACAGAATCAAATAAGTGTATCATTACTGTTATCAGCATTTCAAAAGAAAAATGTAAGGTACTTGGAAAGAGTGTAGCGGGTGGACCGAGAGGCTCCAGGAAGGCCTCCCTGAGCAAGAGACATTTAACCACAAACCTGAGTGTTCTTTAAGGAGGAGTTCAGTAAGGGGGGTTTGGGGGTGTTCTTTCCTGGGACGAGGAATACTGTAGAAGAGCCAATTTGGAGGATCGTGAATTCAGCCTGGGAAGCATTGAGTTGCCAGCCTGTTGAGTGAGGCTTGTGAGACATCCAAGTACAAAGAATTCATTTGGGTGCTTAAATGGCCAAAAGAGGTGGGATCGTGAGGGTCATCAGCACATGCAGGGTGACCTCCCCAGCTTGGATGAGGTAGGCACAGGGAGAGCTGAGGCTGCCTGGAGGCCTCCCAGCACGTAAAGACCAAGTGGAGGGAGGGTGGCGAGGAGGAGTGGGCAGAGGAGGTGGGTCGCCAGAAGCGGGGAGCAGTCCGTGTTAGCAGTACTGTCGAGAGACTAGGTGAGATGAGGACCAAAACATAGGGGCGGGAGTTTGCCTCCTGTTACCAAGTAGGTAAGCTACTGGAAAGATGGGCTTCGGTGCCCGATTGGAGGGAGTTGGGAAATGCACGCAAGGTGAGATGAGCAAACGTGGACAGATGGCCCCTTTGATGGTTCAGGCTGGGGTGTGGTGGCTGGTACCTGAAAGGGGAAGGAGGCCAGGGGAGGAGGGATTTTTTTTTTTTTTTTTTTAAGATGGCAAAGACTTGAGCACATTGAAATGTCAATTGGAAAGATTTTTTAAAAGCTGAGGGTACAGAAGAAAAGGGATTATCACTGGCATACAACTTTTGCCCTCCAGTGTGCTGTACAAAGAGGGGACGCAGGTGAAGCTGCAAGGAATATGGGAGTGTTGGTGGAAAGTGGTCCCAGAGGTATGCCATTTAGGGTGTGACTGTAGAGTCTGAGTCGCCAGCCATCTGTTAGGTGACCCACCCTGTACGTAGCCAAGGACAGCTTTGCACACTTGCTGTTTTCTTATGTTGCCCTTTGTCAGTAAGCATTCGGTTCTGCCCTTTCAGCAGTTTATGAAAGTCAGAAAATGAAAATAATTCTGCAGCCTGTTTCTGTTAAGCTATGCAGGGGAGCTGGCTGAAACCGTGAGTCAGAATGAGATTTGGGGTTGCCTGCGTTTCCTGTATTCTTGTGTCCCATTTACAGCAGTAACTTTTCTGTTTCTCAATTTTTAGGCCTTTTCTGATGCCATTAAAAAATGGCAGGAGCTCTCTCCAGAAACCAGCGGAAAAAGAAAAAAGAGAAAAGAAATGAATCAGTATTCTTACATAGACTTCAAGTTTGAACAAGGTAATGGCCAACTTTGAGTTTGCTGACTGTGTGAAGTGGCTGTGCAGAGCCCTCTCCTTCCCATGCAGCTTGTAAAGGCCGCTGTGGCATGGCCACCCTGCCAGGCCAGCCTAAGGACTGGCTGCGTGGCCTGCTCTGGGGACACATTTGTATGTTTAGGAAGTGGCTGTGGTTGTCACCCTCCTCCTTTCTGCCTAGGGTACACCGTGACCGGAACATTGTGTGCAGTGGCAAAGAACTCACGTGGGGAAGTGTTTGGGGACACTCTCAGGCGGGGGTGGGGGTGGGGGGCTGGTCTTGAAGGTTAGACAAGAATTAACTTTATCTCTAGTAAAATTACCTAAGCCAGAGATTGATTGCTTACTGCAGAAGGATCGTTTGTGCACCTGAGAGAGTGGCTTCTGCACAGGAAAGACCAGCAGTTCCTAAACAGCCACTTATGTGCTGAACGTTCTGTTATTGATGACACAACTGCCGAGAGCCCTTCCAGAGACGTTAGTTTGGGTCTAACCCCCACCCCCAGGGTAAATGTGTTGAATTTTACATCACATTTGATCTGGGTTGCTTGTGTTTGAGAAAAGAGCCCCCTGTAACTTTTCCTATAGATTGTCATGAACAGGAATATTTTCCTTTTGTTTTCTCTTATTTGTCTTTCTCTTAAATCTGTACTTAGTTATGTAACTTTATTTCAGGTCTGACTAAATGGAAAATCTAGGAGCTAACCACAGAGTTGGAAGTTTTTGGGGGTTCTCAGCTCCTCAGGATCTAAAAGGAAACCCCTAGGCTCTGATTCCTGAGGTCCCCGAGCTAGTCTGTGGTGCAGTGCTCTCCCGTCATGACATTCTCACAAGTCTGCCAAAGAATGAGAAAGTGGGGGCAGTGTGTAGGTGGTTCTTTATTCAGCTAAATTTATCCAGTCTAGACTCGACATCCCAAATACATAGTCGATCCATATTTGTTTCTGTCAGTGGTAGAGAAAAGAAAGTACCACTTTGCAAGATGGTCCACTCCCTTGTTGGTCAGCTCTATCTTTTAGAAACGTCTTTTATATCAGGTCAAAATGCACCTTCCTGAAATTTCTTGCCATGGGTGTAGTTCTTGTATCTGAAAAGACTTGGAATCTGTCTGTTGCTTCTTTGTCTTTCTGACTGCCCTTCTCTGTGTGTCTCCTCTAGCTTGTAAGAATCTGTTTGAAAGTCTGGGTGGACAGAATACTCCAGATGAGTCTGCTGTGTAGAGACAACACACAGCGTTAATATTTACGGCTAACATATACACTTAACCTTCCTTGACAGCAATTTACAAGTATAGTCTGAGAGTCCTCCATCTATCTGCTCCAGGAATCTTAATTTTTCACCTTTTCTGCCATTTTTCCATCCTAGCACCGCTATTTGGATTATACGTTGCTTGGCTCAAAGAGGGAGTCAGGATTCTCCCTCCACTGTCCTTTTTATGGTTTTATGAGCTGACCAGTAGACAGTCTTCTCATGAAGAGCCTGGGTAGAATCTGGATGTAAACTGAACATCAAAAAATACAACATACTATCTCGCAAAGCTGACCAAGACAAAAGAAGACATAAATTACCAGTATCAGGAGTTTTCACCCTTCATAGGGGATCTCACCATAGACCCTACAAACTGCTAATGCAGAATACCGTGAACAACTTTACACACATAAATCTGACAACTTAAATGAAATGGACCAATTCCTCAAAAAAAACCGACAAAATACCAAGACTTACCCATGTTTAAATAGATAATTTAGATAGCCCTGTAGCTCTCAAGGAAATTGAATTCATAATTTTAAGTCTCCCAGAAAAGAAATCTCCAGCCTCCTTTGGTTTCACTGACAAATTCTTCTAAAAATGTTTAGAAAAATTAACACTAATTCTACATAGTAGCTTCTAGAAAATAAGAGGAGGAAGCACTTTCCAGCTCATTTTATGAAGTCAGTATTAACCCAGATAACAAAAGCAGATAAAGATGGCACAAAAAACTATAGACCAATATACCTCATGAATAGGCATGCAAAATTCGTTAACAAAATAGCAGCAAATAGAAGTTAGCAATATATAAAAAAAATATGTGCCATGATCAAGTCAGGTGTATTCCAGGGGTGCGAGGCTAGTTTAATATTTTGAAGAACAGTCCATATGATCCACCATATTAACAGGTTAAAGAAGGAAAATTACGTGACCATGTTAATTGATGCGGAAAAGGCATTTAACAATATTTAACACCTAGTCATGATTAAAATTCAGAAAATTAGGAACTTGAGAGGAGCTTCTTCAACTTGATAACATCTACAAGAAAACCTAAAGCTAATACTTTATTTAATGGTGAATCCTTTCCCCCTAAATCAGGAATGGGGGAAGGAGGTTTTCTGTTTACTGCTGTTCAACATGAATTGAAAGTTATAGCCAATGAGGAAACTCCAAGGAATCTACTGAAAATACATCTTCTAGAGTCATTGAGTATCATTGCAAGGTATAAGGTCAACCTACAAAAACCGATTATATTTCTATATACTGGCAATGAGCATGTGGAAATCAAAGTATAATACTATTTGTAATTACTCCCCCTCCCATTAAATACTTGGCTTAAATCTAACAAAACATGTATTAAGACTTGTGATAAAAACTAGAAAACACTCAAGAAAGAAACCAAAGGTGGAAGTCAGCGGAGACCTGTTTTGTGATCATTGGCAGGAAGACTCAATGTCGTAAGGATGTCAGTCCTCCCCGAATTGATCTACAGATCCCAGCAAAGCTTTTTGGTAGCCACAGGCAGGTTTATCCTAGAATTTCTATGGAGACGGTACTGAAGTAGCCAGAATAATTGCTGAAGAGAATAAGTGGGAGAAGGATCAGGAACCAGATAGAGTAAATACTGATAAAGCCAGAAGGTGTTATGAAGAAGAGATTTCAGAGAGTGAATAGAAGATCTTGGGTAGAATAAGCAGTTTTCTAGAAAATATAAATTACCAAATCCAAAGAAATAAAAAAGCTGAACAGGCCAATTACATGGTGTGATATTTACCATTCTGTTATCTTTTACTCTAAATGTTACTGTACATTTAGGTACTTAGGTACTACTCTTTCAGCTTTTGTATGTGAAGGGGTTCAGAGTAAAAAGTTTAAAAAACCTTCATCAGACACATGTGCACCTACCAGAACGGCTACAATTACAAGCTGACGGTACAGGTGATGAGGACGTGGTATGACACCCTGCCAGTGGAGGGAGCGTGTAAACTGGCACAACTGCTTTGCAGAACTGGCACGATTTTCTAGAGCTGCAGCCATGCCTCTCTGTGATCCAGCACTTCCTCTCCCTCATGTATGCTCTGCTGAATTGCAGACACATTCAGCAATAGTAACCCACAACTATAAACCCAGCTGTCCTCAGTAGAATGAATAATGATGAAGTGTGGTATATTCACACAGTGCAGTACTGCCAGGAGAGGAGGGACCTTCCATTTGGAGCATAACAAGGAAAATGAAAACATTAAAGTCAAAACATGTGCCTGATAAGTTAGGGAATGGCAAGGGGCTGAAGTTTCCCACATGTAGAGTACGTTACTGGAGTTAGAAACTTACTCTTTGGGGGGGTACGCGGGGGGACTGGGCCACAGGAGCCTGGAAGGGATGCCCTGGATTCCTCACAACAGTTGTCTGCATGGTTTTGCATTGTCACATGTCTTCTAGGTGACATAAAAATAGAAAAGAGGATGTTCTTTCTGGAAAATAAGCGGCGACATTGTAGGTCTTACGACCGGCGTGCCCTTCTTCCAGCTGTGCAGCAAGAGCAGGAGTTCTATGAGCAGAAAATCAAAGAAATGGCAGAGGTAGGAGGATGGGTTTGGGGTGTGTTTCTGGCTTTCTGGTTTGCTCTTAGGACTTAGTATAAAACTATCTTTGAAAATTTACATTTTCTTTGAAGCAGTTGGTTTGAATAAACTAATACACTTATAAAGCTTTCTAAAAAACAACTGGTTTTGGGGCGCCTGGGTGGCTCAGTTGGTTAAGCAACTGCTTTCGGCTCAGGTCATGATCCTGGAGTCCCAGGATCGAGTCCCGCATCGGGCTCCCTGCTTAGCGGGGAGTCTGCTTCTCCCTCTCCCGCTCCCCCCTCTTGTGCTCTTTCTCTCTCTCACTCTCTCTCTCAAATAAATAAATAAAATCTTTAAATAAATAAATAAATAAATAAAAATAAAAAACAACTGGTTTTGTAAGGATATTGACCAAAGTTCAACATTTTACAAACCAGATTTATGTTAGAGAATTTTAATTGGAGCTTAATGAACATACGTATTTCACCTCCCTCAACCTCTAATAACGAAGAACAACCGGAGAGAGATCCGTTAGCCCTTCAGTTCTTCCAAATAAACTGTCAAGTGTGCGAGACAACCTGAATGTTTATGTACTGGTGGTTTACTACATATTTTCTGGACCAGTGGCTCTCAGTTTGACCCATGAACCCCTGAGTTCCCAAGACTCTTCAGGAGGTCAGTGAGGTCAGATCTCTTACCCTGATGATGAGACATTATATTTGCCTGCTTCACTTTGTTGAATTTGTTCTGACAAAACAACAGCAGTGGTACCTCAGCATAAATCAAGTCGGTGGCACCTTTCTTCACCACCACGCACTCACATTTAAGAAAGAAGCCCATGTTATTTAAAAATGCCTTTGATGAGGGGCGCCTGGGCGGCTCAGTTGGGGAAGGTCTGACTCCTGAGTTCAGCTCAGGTCCTGATCTCAGGGTCTTGAGATTGAGCCATGTCCAGCTCTGCACTGGGCCCTCTCCCCCCCCCCCCCCCCCCGCCACATGCATGCGTGTACTCGCTCGCTCATTCTCAAAAAAAATAACTAATAATAAATAATGCCTTCAGTGAAACAGTAAAATTTATTCATTTTATCAAATTTTGACCCTTGAGCACGTTACGTTTTCGCTGCTCTGTGTGACAACATGGGAAGTCCACACTAAGTGCTCTTGCCGCGTCCCGACTGTGATGATGTTCCAAGAAGCACTTGTGCCTTTGAGTTGCAAGCTGCCGAATGAGGCACTTTTCCCCCCCAAAAAACACAATTTTTACTTGAAAAATTGATTACTCAGGAGTAGGCATTGGGCAGACATCATCTCAAAAATCAAATGATTATTTGTGGCCAATGATAAAACTCTAGATCTCAAGCAGAAATTAGAAGTTTTGATCCATCTGTCACAGTTCCTTCTCATCTGTTACATGAAAGCCTGTTGGTGTACCTTGCACTTTAATGGATCTTCCACACATGCGTGATTTTAGCCTCTAAAACACTAATTTGTGAGTTATGTAGGTCTTCCAGATGTTGGCACATGGTACAGTATCAGACCGTCGCAGTCATTAATTTCTCATCAGAAAAGTGTTAAAAAGTGTTGGCGGAATGCTTCTTTGTAGTCCTTATCCTCGTCCATATTGTTCCACGTCTGGCCAGTGGTATCCCCTTCAAATCATTGACTCTGTCCTGGCCTCAGTTGTTCTTGACGACACCCCTTCTTTCTGGCTCACAAGGTGACCGAGGTTCAACCTCTGCTTTTCTTGACCTGGACCTGGAGTCACCCGCCTCTCCAGTGCACCTTATTTTCTTCTAGTGGGAATTCATACTGAGGCTGCTGTTTCAGATTTGGTTTACAGGGTTTTTTTTAAACTTCTTTCATTTTATGTTTGTACTTCTTTCCTCTTACGCTGAAAATCTTGATTCTATGCAGTATTAATATAATGACTTATTTTCTTTATCCTATATTATATACTTAATATTTCCAAAACAACAGTCCATATTATTACCAATAAGGGTGGCTCAGTCGTTGGGCGTCTGCCTTCGGCTCGGGTCACGATCCCAGGGTCCTGGGATCGAGCCCCGCATCGGGCTCCCTGCTCAGCGGGAAGCCTGCTTCTCCCTCTCCCACTCCCCCTGCTTGTGTTACTGCTCTCTCTCTCTCTCTGTCAAATAAATAAATAAAATCTTAAAAAAAAAAAAAAAAGGCTACTGAATACAGTCTTAAGATTTATTGATAATTTTCTTGTCAGGTTATATCAGATTAGGAATATGAAATCAAAATATTAAAAAGTCACTTGGAGGGGCACCTGGGTGGCTCAGTCGTTAAGCGTCTGCCTTCAGCTCAGGTCATGATCCCAGGGTCCTGGGATCGAGCCCCGCATCAGGCTCCCTGCTCAGAGGAGAGCCTGCTTCTCCCTCTCCCACTCCCCCTGCTTGTGATCCTTCTCTCACTGTGTCTCTCTCTGTCAAATAAAATCTTTAAAAAAAAAAAAAAAATCATTTGGAATAAGTCTGTGTGGTTATGCCATTAACCTGATAAACAATGAAGTTTTGATATGATAAATGATAAACAAGTTTACAAATTTTAAGGTATTGGTTTTTTGGGTTTTTTGTTCCAAGATTTATTTATTTGAGAGAGAGAGAATGTGCTGGCAGGGGGAGGGGCCGAGGGAGAGAGAATCTCAAGCAGACTCCCTGCTGAGCATGACTCTGGCTGGATCCCAGGACCCCGAGATCATGACCTAAGCCGAAATCAAGAGCTGGACACCTAACCAACTGAGCCATCCAGGCGTTCCTTGGTTTTGGGTTTTTAATTTTTTTTTAAGTTTATTTAAGTAATCTGTACACCCAGTGTAGGGCTCAAACTCATGACCCCAAGATCAAGAGCCACAGGCTCTTCCGACTGAGCCAGACAGGTGCCTCTCTATATAACCCTTGTTAATAGTCTTGACTGTCTTTCCTTATTTTATGTAAAAGTAAATATATGGGGGGGGGTTGTTGGGGTTTTTTTGGTTTTGCCTATCTTTCTTACCTGAAGCACACTTTTCTGCCCCTTGCTTTTATTTTATTTCTTTTTAAGATTTTATTTATTTATTTGACAGAGCGAGAGAGCACAAGCAGGGGGAACAGTAGAGAGAGAGGGAGAAGCAGGCCCCCCTCCCAAGCAGAGAGCCCGACGCAGGGCTCGATCCCAGGACCCTGGGATCATGACCTGACCGGAAGGCAGACGCCCAACCATCTGAGCCACCCAGGCGCCCCTGCCCCTTGCTTTTAAACTTAGCAGTGCATCCTGATGATCAGTCTTAAGCAAACCAGAGGTTTTTCTTTCCTTGTTAAAACTGCCTAGTGTGCCTTTGCAGTAGCAGTGTTGATTCAGTTACTCTCCTTAATGGACGTCCAAAGTTGTTTCCGTTGTTTTTTGCTATTATAAATAGTGCCATGACATTAAATAACCTTGAGCATACTGTATTTCCTATTTCTGCCCCAGAGTATCTTTTTTTTTTTTAAAGACTTATTTATTTATATGAGAGAGAGCACATGAGAGGGGGGAGGGTCAGAGGGAGAAGCAGACTCCCTGCTGAGCAGGGAGCCCGATGCGGGACTCGATCCTGGGACTCCAGGATCATGACCTGAGCCGAAGGCAGTTGCTTAACCAGCTGAGCCACCCAGGCGCCCTCTGCCCCAGAGTATCTTAAGAATACATTCCTCGATGTGCTTTGGATGAATCAAAGTACCTAAATACTTAGGTACCGTGTTATATAATGCCAAGTTTCTTCCATAGTGGTTGTGTTGGTTTGCATTCTCACCAACAAAAGATGTTGTCAAACTTGGTTTTTACCCATTTGGTTTATTGTGTGCTTATGCTATTCTTTGCTATTCAGAAGTGTTGTTATGTACTCGTCTTTCCCCTTATTCCTTCTACATTTTGAGTCAGATTCAAGAAAGCGTCCCTCATATTTTCTAGTATTTGTTTGGTTTCCTTTTTTTATATTTAACTTTCTTGTGCATTTTAAATTTACTCTGAGGTACCTTTTTAAGCTACTAAACTCTGTAACTGAAGAGATGATTATTCGTAATAGAGTTCTTTTATGTTTATGGAAATAAATGCTAAATGTTTGTGGCATCTTTACTAAATTTGTGTCTGCATGTATTGGTTTTGTTCTTCAGCATGAAGACTTTTTGCTTGCCCTGCAGATGAATGAAGAACAGTATCAGAAGGTAGTTTGAAATCTCACTAATTCATTTATTCTGGGTATTTACGTGACCTGTTTTTCTTTATCAATTCCTGGTGGCAAATTGCTTCCTGTATAACCTCCTGTTGATCTGCTGGGTTTATGGTTCAACCAAGTTACAGTTAGGTGCTTGAACCATGATGGGTACTCCTAATGCCAGACTGGATCAGAACTGAAGCACAGATAATGACAGAGTTGTTTCTCTTAAAAAAAAAAAAAAATTCCTGGAATCCATTGAATAGACTTTTAAAGGAAAATTTAGAATTCTGGTGTCAAAAAGTTGGAAGAGATCTGTCTGACCGCAGGACCAGGTCACTTTTGTCCACTATCTGCTGTCCTCACCTCGTGGCCTTTTCTAGCATAGTGGGAATGGATTGGGGTCTGGGTCTGTCTCTGCCAATGAGAAGAGCAGGTTTCATGGTGTTCAAGTACTGGAGGTTATGCTCTAGCTAGCTTCATGGTCCCGTAAGATACAGTGTGGGCTGAGACACAACCCCCTCACACTCCTGCCCTCTAATAAGAAGAGCAAAATCCAACTTTGGAAGCTTTTTGGAATAACATCTCTCATGCCACTTGTCCCTGACTCTCATAGTCATATTAGCATCTGAGTATAGATGTTATGGTTCTTTTTTTTTTTTTTTTTTTTTTTTTTTTTTTTTTAAAGATTTTATTTATTTATTTGAGACAGAGAGAATGAGATACAGAGAGCATGAGAGGGAGGAGGGTCAGAGGGAGAAGCAGACTCCCTGCCGAGCAGGGAGCCCGATGCGGGACTCGATCCCGGGACTCCAGGATCATGACCTGAGCCGAAGGCAGTCGCTTAACCAACTGAGCCACCCAGGCGCCCCTAGATGTTATGGTTCTGTTGACACCATGGAACTCATGATATGATCACTTTGTACAAAGGGTGACTCTGAAGAATAAAAACCCATGAAAATTCTCACTATCTTTAGTTACATGTTAATATCTGTACTAGCACCTCAGGCTAGATGTACAGAGCAGAAAATAGCTCATCGATGTCTTATGGCTTCTAGAGGTGGCTTTTGACCTCAGCGTGTGTTTGGGAATGGGGGAATATGAAACCTAGCTGCCCCTCTGCTTCAGTGTATAGCATCTCATGTGTCTGACGGCCCGCAGGACGGCCAGCTGATTGAGTGCCGCTGCTGCTATGGGGAGTTTCCATTCGAGGAGCTTACTCAGTGTGCGGATGCTCACTTGTTCTGCAAAGAATGTCTCATCAGATATGCCCAAGAGGCGGTCTTTGGATCTGGAAAGGTGAGAATCATGTAATATTCCCACACGCAGGAAATGTTCACAGAGTATGAGACCCCATTTATAGGCAAGTGTAAGTGCCTCGTCGAATTGCTCTTTCTGGGGTGAGCTGGAACTTTTAAGACATGCTGGTATGTGTGTGATTCCTAGACAGCCCCTGGCTGGTGTGATTGTGTTGGTTGTAAGCAGAGTAGATTCCTTCTTGGGGAATGGCGCTGTTCCTCTGTGCCCCCATGCCTATGCCAGGAGCACCGACGTCTTCACTCATCAGTCCTTTTTGTAATAAAAAATGAAGAGATCCTTGCAGCTGGACAGAGACTGAATGAGAGTGCATTGTTGGGGTTTTTTTAAACAAGATTTTTAAAGGATTTTATAGTTTATTAAAATGAATAACTATTGGGACACCTGGCTGGTTCAGTCAGAAGAGCATGTGACTCTTGATTTGGAGGTCATGAGTTTGAGCCCCATGTTGGGTGTAGAAGTTACTTAAAAATAAATAAGTAAACTTTAAAAAAAGATGAAAAGAACTAGAAGCCTTTAAAAAAAAATGAATAACTTTCCACGATCATATTTCTCTGTGCAAAGTTAGTGTCTGTTGATACCAGCATAACATAATATGAAAAGGAGTTTTGTTTTGTCTTAAGGAACGATTAAAAACCAGAATTACTTTTCTTTTTCCTTTTTTTTTTTTTTTTTTAATTTATTTGACAGAGACACAGCCAGAGAGGGAACACAAGCAGAGGGAGTGGGAGAGGGAGAAGCCAACTCCGGCCGAGCAGGGAGCCCAATGCGGGGCTCAATCCCAGGACCCTGGGATCATGACCTGAGCCGAAGGCAGAGGCTTAACGACTTGAGTCACCCAGGCGCCCCCCAGAATTACTTTTCATAAATGCCTGACCAATAATCAAATCATTCAACATCAGTTAGTCTAAAGTCAGTTGCAGTTTAGTCAAGAACGGAGTAACCGTTACAAGCAGAATGGTGTGGCAGGCAGAATAATGGTCCCCCAGAGATATCCCCATCCTCATCCCAGAACCTGTGGATACGTTACCTTACATGACAGGGGAATTAAGGTTGCTAGTTGGGTGGCCTTGAAATGGGAAGAGTAGCCTGGATTATCCAGATGGGCCCAGTGTAATCACAGGGGTCCTTAAAAACGGATGAGAGAGGCAGAAGAGGAAGTTGGACTGATGTGGCATGAGAAGGACTCTGTGCTGCTGATGCCTTTGAAGATGATGGCCAGGGCCCCCTGGAGCAGCTGTCCCGGAGGCTGTCTTCCTTTCTCTTGGAAGAGTGTTAGTCCCTTGACTCCATCTGAAAGGAGTAAGATCCAGACAGAGGCTTTCCAAACAACCCCCTTGGTTTTAGTCTGTATTCCTGTCAGTCTCCTCTTCTATGACTCACCTCCGCCTTCCCCAAGGTCTAGACCTCCAACCTTTTCAGGGTCCCTGGAGGAAATCAACTCACTTCTCACAAATATCTCCTTTTCAGACACTGCGCCATGACCTTCCTTGTTGCTCTCCACCTTACTTCGGTTTGGACTGATAGAGGCCCTCTGGTGCTATATCAGAGATGGACTTTGGGGGGTTTTATCACGCTTTCCTTGTTTTGAGTGTCGTCACTTTCTTAACCACTGTTTATCCACTTCCCATTGAGGGAGGCTTTGAACCACTGAGGCTTTTGTTTTTCTAAAAATTTGGTTGAAATTTCTTTCTTTCTTTCTTTTATTTAATTTAATTTTTTTTTTTTTTTTTTTGCTTCCTGACCTTATAATTCCAGTCAGAACTCAGCTGCATGGAAGGCAGTTGCACATGTTCATTCCCAACCAGTGAGCTGGAGAAGGTGCTTCCCCAGACCATCCTGTATAAATACTACGAGCGGAAAGCTGAAGAGGAAGTTGCTGCAGCTTACGCCGATGAGCTTGTCAGGTGAGTTCTCAGAGTTGGAGAGTGTCATCGGTCACCTCATTCCCCATTATGAAGATTGCCTGAACACTTTCATCAGATGATGAAAATCTATAACAAAGCTGGATCTTCCAGGGGCGCCTAGGTGGCTCAGTTGGTTAAGCGACTGCCTTCGGCTCAGGTCATGATCCTGGAGTCCTCGGAGTCCCGCATCGGGCTCTGCTCAGCAGGGAGTCTGCTTCTTCTGACCCTCCCCACTCTCATGCTCTCTCTCTCTATCTCATTCTCTCTGTCAAATAAATAAATAAAATCTTTAAAAAAAAAAACAAAAAAACTGGATCTTCCAGGTCTTCTGGCATTTTCTTCTGAGCAGTAGGGAATAATTTTATTAATGGGAAAATCCACATTTCACATTTTTACTCACATTCCTTGGTACCTCTTAATCACTTGGCTTATAGGTACAATCGTTACGCACTGAGTTGGAGGATGGAGGAAAGGTGATACGTGCAAGGAGTTCTCACAAAGGTAGGGGTGTATATTTATTGAGTGGTTTGCACTGAGGCAGGACCCAAAATGGCATCTGCATTTCCTGGTAAGAGCCAGCACAAAGGAGAGCCTCAGTCTTGTTTTAATTAAAAAGGAGATATGGCTGTCCAGCTTAAAATTCCATTATTAGTGTGAACATGGAACCAATTTAATATTCTGAGTAATATTCCTTCTGCTGTTTTGATTGTAGGTGCCCCTCCTGCAGCTTTCCTGCTCTGTTGGACAGTGATGTGAAGAGGTTCAGTTGTCCCAATCCTCGCTGCCGAAAGGTAGGGAAGCAAATTTTTTTCTAGATTCATTTGAATTTTGGTGTTATAGACTACACTGATGGCCGTGTATCTGCCGGTTATCTGTGTGCTGATCTGTGAGAAGGGTTTGTGTGCTCTCCTTTTAATGAAAGCAAATGAAGATCAGTACTTGGTGAATCGTGGTTGACATGGTTGCAAAGATGGGGGTCACCTGTGGAATTCCAGTCATAAAGCTCTAGATTCCTGTTGTAGGCCTTCTTCCTGTGAGGGCAGATGTCGTAATGTAAAATATGAAGGGTTAAAGGCCTAGGTATCATGGTGGCATCTGTGTCGCATCTGGTAGAATATTCACTAACTGTTCTTATAAGAACTGATTGTGTTGGGTGCCAAAGCCATCAAGTCACCTCGGTGCTGAAAATCTTTTTTTTAACTAGACTCCCCTGTGAGCTAAGAATGTCTTAAAATGTGTCAGCTATTTACAAGCCACTTAGAGTTTTTAAGCGTCTAGCATCAACCTAGACAAGTATGTTTTAAGCCATTTTTCTAAAATAGCATGACCAGGGCGCCTGGGTGGCTCAGTTGGTTAAACATCTGCCTTCAGCTCAGGTCATGATCTCAGGGTCCTGGGATTGAGCCCTGCGTCGGGCTCCCTGCTGAGCAGGGAGCCTGCTTCTCCCTCTCCCTCTCCCCCCACCTGCCTATGCTCCCTCCCTCCCTCTCTCAAATAAGTAAAGTCTTTAAAAAGAAATTAAAAATTAAAAAAAATAGCATGACCACAGTTGAACATTATAATACCTCTGCCTTACTGCAGGAGTGGAGAAATGAAAGTAGTCATTGGGAAAGGAGGAAGAAACTAAACTAATGGACTAAATTTTATTCCTTTTGTTTTCAGCATTAACATTTCTTTGTAAAATCTGGGTGTATTTTTAGAATTTATGTGTCCATTTAATAATTTGTCCCCACCCTCAGGCTGTTGCTATAACAATTTTCCCAACAGTCTCTGGCTTTTGGAACTAAGTGGAGCACGTGACTGCCCTGTGTGCTCCCCTTGCACCCAGCACTGGAATGCCTGGGGAGGCAGTAGCCAAGGGAAGGAAAGGTTAGGTGGAGGAGAAATGAAGATGTTGGAGTGTTTTTAGGTCTGAAGATGAGTAGCATCCTGAAGGCTCACCAGCTGGGTGGGGCCAGGCTATGCAGATCTTGAGCATCAGTTTAAGGTGGCAGAGGGGGAACAGCAAGGGGACTGAGATAACAGGGAGATCTTTTCAGCTGTTATAGTCCAGGTCAGAGATGCACATCACTGCCACCTCCTGTGGAATCTCCATGAATTGCTAAGATGGAGCTGGGAACTACCATTTCCTCCAAGAATTCCAAATTAGACTCTACCGATAAGTGTTCATAGACAATTTGGAAGGCAAAAGAGAAGGTGAGGCCATTATTCTCCCAAGACAGTTACAGGCAGTCCTAAGGACACACATGAGTCTGAAACAGTGTCCTGTGAGTGTCTTCAGAACATCAACCTGGGATGTCAGTGAAAGGGTCCCAGTGGCTTTTAAGATCTGAAGCAGAAACATCAAATATTCGGCTTCCTCTCTGTGGAAGGGATATACATGCCTTGTTGAACTTGGAGGTGGCCGTGTAGCTTCTTTTGGTCAATGAAATGTCAGTGTGGATGAGGTCAGTCACTTGCAGAAAAAGTGGTAAAAACATGATTTGGGGTGATGTCAACAAGCAGACAGCCCCAGACCCTCCTTCCCCAGCCCCCTACGGAGACACTGATCAACATTACACAGACCGGTTCCCTTTGTGAGAAATTTAGAAACCAGGTAGGAGGCTCCTGCATTCCAGACAGTGCAAAGCCGGCTGCATTGAAGCCTGTAGGAAAATTCATGGAACTCACTTGCCAGAGACCCTCCCATCTGCACATGCAGGAAACATCTAAATCCTCGCTTCCCCACCCCCACCCCCATCCCCCAGGGGGAGGGAAAGGGAAGACTCGAACATAATCCAGCATTCAGTCTTCTTGGGCAGCTGCCCAAGGGGCTGGCTTTTGTCTTTCCTGACTCTAAGCAGCACCAGGTTGGAGATTGCTGAGAAGAAAGGCAACATTTTATATATTTACTTATTTTTATTTATTTTAAGGAAGCTCTGTGCCCAACATGGGGCTTGAATTTATGACCCAGAGATCCTCAGTTCTACCAACTGAGCTGCCAGGTGCCCCCAAAGGCAACATTTTAAGCTAACATACACTACCATTGCCGTTCCCCTCAGTTTAGTGTGCAAAGAACTGGAGGAAACCCCCAACTCCCAGCTTCTCCCTGGGGAGGGAAAGAGTTGGAACATGTGTCCAGGGTTCTGGCCTTTGGGAGTACTGCCTAAAGGAGTTGGACTGCTCCAGAGAACCTGCAGTACTATAGACAGACACCAGAGGGAGAAAGAGATTATAAGCTCCTAAAAAAAGAAACTTAGCGAGACCTCTGTAATTGAGAATTTACACATGTTAAGTCCAGAGAAGACGCCTCCTAAGTAAAGGCTCCCAGAATCTATAGCTAGGCTGGCTGGTGAAGGTCTTTCCCTGTACAAAGCCATTGTGTAAAAACTGGGAGAGGTGACTGTTTCTTCAAATATGTGGATCCTGCCACAAAGCAACAAGGTGTATAGGAAGGAATACAGTCCAACCAAAGGAACAAAGTAGATCTCCAGAAAGGACACTAAAGAAAAGGAGATATGTATGTGAATTACCTGAAAATTCAAAATAATCATCATAAAGATGTTCAACAAGCTCGGGAAAATGATATGTGAACAAAATGAGAATATCAACAGAGAAAATATGGAGAAGAGTCAAACAAAATTGGAGCTGAAGAATACAATAACTGATGGAAAATTTCACTAGAGGGATTCTTCATCAGGTTTGACCAATCAGAAGAAAGAACCAGTGAACTCAAAGACAGGTCATTTGAAATTATCTAGTCAGAAGAACAGAAAGGAAAAAAAAGAATGAAGAATAAGGAAAGCTTGAGGCACCAATGGGAGGGACACCATCAAGTGAACCAGTGTATGTGCTGTAAGAGTTTCAGGAGGAGAAGAGCGAGAGAGAGACAGAAAGCTTATTTGCAAAAATAATGGCCAAAAACATCTAAAATCTGGGAAAGGAGAATGGGTATCCAGATTCAAGAAGCCAAATAGGCCCCAATTAAAACGAACCAACACAGTATAGGGGAGAGTTAATATTGTCAAAATGTCATACCTATACAATGCCATCTGTAGATTTACTCACAATTCCTATGAAAATACCAACTGCTTTTTTTGAAGAAACAGAAAAAAACAGTCCTAAAATTCATATAGAACTGTGAAGAATCCCAAATAGCCAAAACAATCTTGAGAAAGAAGAACAGAGCTGGAGGCCTTATACTTCCTGGCTTCAAAGCATATTACAGAGTTACAGTAATCAAAACAGTATGGTACTGGCATAAAGACAGACCTACAGACCAGTGGAACCAAACAGAGAGCCCAGAAGGAAGCCCACACCTCTGCAGTCAGGGGCACCAAGATTACACCTTGGGGAAAGGTCGTTCTGCTTGACAAATGGTGCCAGACAAACATGACTGCCTGCAGAAGAATGAAATTGGATGTTATCATACACCACAAAGATCAACTCAGAATGGATTAAAAACTGAAACATAATAGGGCGCCTGGGTGGCTCAGTCTTTAAGCGTCTGCCTTCGGCTCAGGTCATGATCCCAGGGTCCTGGGATCGAGCCCCGCATCAGGCTCCCTGCTTGGCAGGAAGCCTTCTTCTCCCTCTCCCACTCCCCCTGCTTGTGTTCCTGCTCTCGCTATCTCTCTCTCTCTCAAATAAATAAATAAAATCTTTAAAAAAAAAAACAAAAACAAAAAACTGAAACATAACAATCTAAAATTCCTAGAAGAAAACATAGGAAGCTTCCTAACATTGGTCTTTGTAGTGATTTCATGATTGTAACACTAATAGCACGGACAACAAAAACAAAAACAGACGAATGGGACTGCATCAGACTGAAAATCCTTTGCACAGAAAAGGAAACCATCAACAGTGAAAAAGTAGCCTATGGCATGGGAGAAAGTATTTGTAAATTATTTCCCTGGTGGGCGCCTGGGTGGCTCAGTTGGTTAAGCAACTGCCTTCGGCTCAGGTCATGATCCTGGAGTCCCGGGATCGAGTCCCGCATCGGGCTCCCTGCTCGGCGGGGAGCCTGCTTCTCCCTCTGACCCTCCCCCCTCTCATGTACTCTCTCTCATTCTCGCTCTCTCAAATAAATAAAAAATAAAATCTTTAAAAAAAAAATTATTTCTCTGGTAAAGTGTTAATACCAGTAATAAACAGGAAGTCCTATAAGTCAGTAACAGCCAATCAGAAATAAGCCAATTAAAAAATGGGCAAAGGACTGGAATAGACATTTCTTCAAAGAAAACCTACAGTTGGCCAACAGATGCATGAAAAGGTGCTCAGCATCACTTGTCATCAGGGAAATGCAAATCAAAGCCACGGTGAGGTCATTTCACATCTAGGATGCTCACCAACACAAAAAAGGAAAAAAGAAAATAAGTGTTGATAAGGATGTGAAGAAATTGAAACCATTGTTCATTGTTGATGGGAATGTAAAACAGTACATCCCCTATGGAAACTAGTATGGGGACTGTCCTCAAAAAATTGGGACGCCTGGGTGGCTCAGTCGTTAAGCGTCTGCCTTCGGCTCAGGTCATGATCCCAGGGTCCTGGGATCGAGCCCCATTATCAGGCTCCGTGCTCAGCGGGAAGCCTGCTTCTCCCTCTCCCACTCCCGCTGCTTGTGTTCCCTCTCTCACTGTCTCTCTCACTGTCAAATAAATAAATAAAATCTTTAAAAAAGAAAAAGGAGCCGTTAAGCGTCTGCCTTCGGCTCAGGTCATGATCTCAGGGTCCTGGGATCGAGCCCCGCATGGAGTCTGCCGCTCCTGCTCCCTCTGCTAGTCTCTCTCTCTCTCTGTCAAGTAAATAAATA